ATCCCCTGCCCCTGAGGTGGGAACCATTCTCTCCCCAGCGGGGAGAATTGGAGGTGAATAAAAGAGGTGGAGGGTTCTAAAACGAGACAACACGCTGATAGGTAGATCTAGTGCATAGGTAGATCTAGTGCAGAAATACTGAGCGTGTGTTGAAGCATTTTTTAACAGGGTCTCGATACGCACTTGACATGTTAACAGGTATCCTCGGCAGCAGGGCGGAAAATGAATTGGAGGGACAAGCTGGAGTCAGGAAGCAGATAGGTCGTTTCAGTAACCCAGACGAGGAATGATGACACTGCTCTGCCTTTGGAAAATGGGACAGAGAAGAGATTTGAGGTGCCATAAATGCTAGGAACTCCAGTTCTTGGGATGTGAGGAAGGTGAGGCTCCAATGGCTCAGAGGCGTCTAAATTGAGCAGCTGCTATGTGATAATTCATTGATCCTTGCAGGGAAGGCAGGAAGACAAATGGATTTGAAGGAGAATATGAAACTGAAAGCAAGGGAGAAGAGGGAGGACCTTTGGAAAAGAGTGACTGGTTAAAAAAAAATCTTTCATATATTGCAAGTAAATGAAACACAGACTAAGCAAGCATGATTTGGACTAGTCCATCAGCAGGTCATCACTGCAGGTCTCTGGCGGTGGTTTCAGGGCAGATTTGGACGAATGGTACCCGAGGAGCCTGGGAGGTGGAGAGGTGTAGACGATGAATGGAGACCACCACGGGGTGCCTTGCTGGGAGGAGAAGGGCTGAAAGAGGGCATGAGGTCGTTGTTCTCACTGTCTCAAAGCAGAGGTGACTTGAGCCTCGTAGTGGAATGGGCAGCACGTCTTAGCCGACAGGGCGGAGTTAGAGACACAACAGACCGAACAATGATGGGCCGAGAGGCTGGAGGACAGGACCGAACTCAAGATTGCAGAAGGCTGCTTGTGCTGTATCTACCGTGTTTCCCCGAAAATAAGACAGGATCTTATATTTATTTTTCCTCAAGAAGACACCCTAGGGCTTATTTTCAGTGGATGTGTTATTTTTTTTAGGTAAGGTACAACAATCTACATTGATTCAAATAGAGTTAAATTGTCTTCTTCTGAAACATCATCATAACTCTCCAAACCCCGAATTCCATCCTGAATTTCTTGCGACTCTATTTCCTTTAGAACCATCCCCCCGATCTCTCACGTGGAGCACTAGAGCTCTCACCGGGCAGATGAGAAGGGCTGCTCGACTTCTTGGCCGCTCTTCGAGGAAATGCACGGGTCGTGCAGACGCGCTGCGCAGCCACGCCCGCCACTAGGGCTTATTTTCAGGGTGGGGCTTCTATTGTGCAAATACTTAGAAATCCTGCTGGGGCTCACTGTATGGGTAGGTCTCATTTTTGGGGAGACACAGTAGGTGTCATGCCGCGTGATCGTCTCAGATGATGGCACGCAGAGTTACCAGGAAGCTGAGCGGGAATCCTCTGTGAGAAAAGAGATGTCCTGCCACTGAGAAGACATAAGGGGGAGGGTTAGTGCTGTTGTTGTGACCATGGCTGTGAAGCAAGCACAAAGCAGAGGGGAACGGAGACAGTGTGCTCGCTGTGTTTGTGAACAGCACATTTGCTGGCGGGCTCATCCCCCTCAGTGTCCAGGTAACAGCGAGGAAAGGGTGGAATCGACCCAGATTACCAAACTGCAGGCAAGAGTCGAGTGGGTGGGCTCAGGCACTCGCATTTGCAGAGGAAAGTCGAAGCGTCGGCTCCCAGAGTTCATCCCAATAGGGCAAACATCCGGGAGCCCTGCCTGGGTGACGTGCAGAGGTCCGAGAAGTGGCAAGGGAAGGGGTGGCGACCGAGCTTCTGCACAAAGCCCAGGGTGTGGTCATGGCAGCAGGCTGTAAAATGAAAAACAAAATGTAGCCTGCAGCTTCTGTGCATTGTTTACCTGCGTTGGGGTGAAAAATTGAACAGGGCGAAGCCAGGTTTATTGATTGTAATTTATCTCACCTGATAAATCTGAAGTCATTAAAAGTCAAAACCACAGAATATCCTCTATACTAAAAAAAATGCAATAATTGGCTACAAAGAAAGCAAGATGAAATCATTTGTCTATTAACTAAAACACTTTTAGTTGTAGGATTTGGAGCATTCGCCTGAGATTACGTAATAGAGAATATTGCAGGTGGACCTTGGGTTAGACCAAGTTTCGATTCTTGGCACCATTGACTGGCTATGTTATCCCTTTGAGCCTTATTTATCTTATCTATAGAGCAGCAAAAATACAGTACACATCTGATGAGTTTGTTGTGAGTATTAATATAACAATAAATGTAAGGACATTAGCATACTGCTTACCACGCGGTAGCCTCCTGAATTAATGCTGCCTCTTACTATAACACAGTCCATTATTTCTGCTGTTAGCAAATATGTCATTATCATAGTTTCCTACTATATTAGTTTATGATAGCACATTAGTTTTCTATGACTGCTATAACAAGTCACCACGACCTTAGTGGCTCCAAACAACACAAATTTATTCTCTTATAGTGCTGTAGCTCAGAAGTTCAAACTCAGTCTCAGTGGGCTAAAGGCAAGGTATCGCCAGGGCTGCTTTCTGGAAGCCCTAGAAAAGAATGGGCTTCAATTTTATTCGTTTTGTTTATTTTTGTTTCTTGTATAACCTATGCATAAATATGTAAGTACAAAAGCCAATTATAAATTGATTCCACTGTCAGATGCAATACACTCTGATCATTTTCAGCCTGTCTTTTTTTTTTTTTTTTTTTGAGACAGAGTCTCGCTTTGTTGTCCAGGCTAGAGTGAGTGCCGTGGCGTCAGCCTAGCTCACAGCAACCTCAAACTCCTGGGCTCAAGCGATCCTCCTGCCTCAGCCTCCCGAGTAGCTGGGACTACAGGCATGTGCCACCATGCCCGGCTAATTTTTTATATATATATCAGTTGGCCAATTAATTTCTTTCTATTTATAGTAGAGACAGGGTCTCACTCTTGCTCAGGCTGGTTTTGAACTCCTGACCTTGAGCAATCCGCCCACCTCGGCCTCCCAAGAGCTAGGATTACAGGCGTGAGCCACAGCGCCCGGCCTTCAGCCTGTCTTAAATGTGATATATCTTTCAAAACAGCAAGACTACAAATCTCTTGCTTGCTATTTCAAAGTTAAGAATTATTGTTCATAGGATCATACTGGAAAAGAACAAAATGTCATGAACAAATTTAGCAAATTTCTATTTGTTTTGTTGTATAATTAATAAGCTATATGTTATTTATACCAGCAAAGGACATTTTTCCAAAAATAAAAAATAAAAAGAATGGGCTCCCTCGCCTTTGCCAGCTTCTAGAGACCACTGGACTCAGCCTGTGGCCCCTTCCTCCAGTTTCAAAGCCATCAGAATAGTGTCCCCACTTTCTGTCACTCGGTGTCTGTTGTCACAGGGCCTTCTATGACTCTCCTCCCTCTTATAAGGACCCTTCTGATATTCTCAGATTGGCCTGGATAATTGGGTTTATCTTATCCGAAGATTCCCTAGTTTGGTCTATTCTGCAAAGTACCTTCTGCTGTGAAAGGCAACAGGTTCACAGGTGCCAGGAATCAGGACTTTGGCCGCTTTTGGAGGGAGGAAGGGGGGGTTATTCAGCCTGCAGCAGGCTGAATACTTCCAGAGGTATTCGTGAAGGACAGGTAGGAATATAGGCTGATTTAAGGTGAATGATGTGTCAACACCCACATTCTTTTATTTTCTTTCTCAACATCATCGTTAACAAACACGTACATTTGCAAACAAATGAACAAACAGACAAATGCCTGAGGGATGTAAAAACATGTCCTCCCTCCCCACCCTCACTGTTTTGTTTTAAACAACTTGATCTTCAGTTTTTGACAAGAAAATACATCCTTTACTGTTCTGTGCGTACTCTCTTCCCCGAGGAACCATCTCCGTGTCTCTGCTCTTCCCTGTCCCCACAGATAAAGTGGCCGTGGCTGCCCGTGGTCACCATCGCTCCCAAATCCACCTCTGTCCTCCCCCCACTCTTTCTTAGAATTACAGCCTCTTTGCACATTTGCAGCGTTCATGAGACTAAGCACCCTGGCACGCTGAAAAGAAAAGAGTTGCGTGTTGAAACCTACACTGCAAGCATCAACAGGCAAAAATTAAGTGAAAATGGCATCAATGGAGGCAGAAATAAAAGTAAGCGTGTTGCATTTTTAATTTTTTTTAATGGTGTTTCTTGGCTTTTGAAAATTACAAATACAGTTCACACAGAGAAACAGCAATCATCAGTTCCTCATAATAGAAATTCAAAGTTCATGTATTTTTACTTTTTTTTTTCCTTTTTGTATACACGTGGAAACTGCAAGACCCCACATCTCACTGCAGAATTCCTATATTTTGTCTATTTCTAAATTCCACCTCTTCTTGATTTTACCTTGTTTAGATGTCCCAGAGTTCCCTGCCTCAATTCTCTCTCTATTTACCCCAAATGCCAAAGCTGATTATCATTGCTGCTGCTGCCTCTCAAGGTGCTACTCTTTCTTTCTTTTTTAGTTTTGTTTTATTTTTGACACACTGTACGTGAGTCTGGGGTACGCCTTGGGGTGTCTGTACAGGTACACCGTTGTGGAATGATCAAACCAGGGGAATTAGCAAATCCATCACCTTGAACAGTATCATGTCTTTGTGATGAGAACGTGCAAAAATCTCTCTTCTGGTTGTTTTGAAATGCACATCCCTGTGACAGTGGTCCCCTGCCTGTGGTCCCCTGCTGAGCCACCTTTTTCCATCTAACTGCAGCTTTTTGCCCTTTGACCGGCTGCCCTGGCTTGGGGGTGACCAAGGGGAAGGAAGGATGCTGCCTGCGCTCCCCAGAGCCAAAGGGAAAACGAAACCTAAACGCGCCAGGAGGAGAAAGGAAACTGAAACTGGAGCGCACGGAGCCGCCCGCATAAAAGGCTGGGAGCGCGGGACTGCCTGCTCCAAGGTCCTGGCGCCCGGGTCGGTCCCTGGTCCCTGAGGTCCTGGCGCCCGGGTCGGTCCCTGGTCCCCGCGGTCCTGGCGCCGGGGTCGGTCCCTGGTCCCCGCGGTCCTGGCGCCCGGGTCGGTCCCTGGTCCCCGCGGCCACTCTCAGAAGCAGCAGGTCGGCGGGCCGGGGCGGGAAGGGAGCGGGTGTGTGTGAGTGTGAGTGTCCCTAAGGGGACGCGGGTCTCGGAGTGTCGCGGGGCTGTTGTCTCCACATCTGGGGACAGAGGACAGGGAGTGGCCGGGAGCGCCGCGGAACAGTGACAACCGCGGGACCAGCGCTCTGAGCCCAGACTGGGGCGAGCAGGCCCCTCTGCGCAGGGTGGGAGCCGGGGCTGGGCGCTGGGGGGCTGAGGGGCATCACACCTGCGCATCGACCGCAGGGGCGGGGCTGGGCGCTGGGGGGCTGAGGGACATCACACCTGCGCATCGACCGCAGGGGCGGGGCTGGGCGCTGGGGGGCTGAGGGACATCACACCTGCGCATCGACCGCAGGGGCGGGGCTTGGTGCTGGGTGCTGAGGGACATCACACCTGTGCACTGACTGCAGGGGCGGGGCTGGGCGCTGGGGGGCTGAGGGACATCACACCTGCGCATTGACCGCAGGGGCGGGGCTGGACACTGGGGGCTGAGGGACATCACACCTGCGCATCGACCACTGCAACAGCTTCCTGCTTCCTGCAAAATCCCTGCCCCAGATTTGTGGAGTCAGAATCTGAATCTTAGTATCTCCTGGGAGATTCCTGCACATCCTCAAACTTCCGTGGCTTAGGACAATAGGAGTTTACTCCTTACTCTCGTAGCTGTTAAAATAATGTATTCGTTGTCAAGGGGTAGGCATCTGTTTCCTATTGCTGCAGAGCAAACTATGACAAACTTAGTGTCTGGAGACAACACGAGTTTATTATTTTATGAGTTCCATGGGTCAGAAGTCTGGGCACAGGGAACTGGGTTCTGGGCTCACCCCTCACCAGGCTGACAGCAGGTGCGCGCTGTGGCCTCCCGGGAGGCTGAGGTGCTCGCTCACCTTGCAGCTGTCTGACCGAGCCCCCCTGGGTTCCTGCTGGCTGTCGGCTGGGGCTGCCTTCAGCCTTTAATTCCACCCTCAGGTCCCAGCCACCTGGCCCTGTCACAGCAAGGTGGTTCATGCCTTCAAAGCCAGCAGGAGACTCTCCCCTGGAGGCATGCAATGTGACCCAGTCACAGGAGGGACTGTCCCATTGCATTCACAGGTCCTGCCCGTTCTCCAGAGGAAGAGAGGTGCAGGGTCGTGGAGACTAAGTTAAACTCTGCCCACAGTGGTCCCCTCCTCCTCCCGGGTCTCAGGAGCCGGATGCCTCCCATGGCGTGGTTCAGCCATCGGTTCAGTGCACAAGGCCTGCTTCTCTTCCCTCCTCCCTTCTTCCCTCTCCTTTCCCCTCTTCCCTCTCCTTTCCCCTCTTCCCTCTCCTTTTCTCTCTTCCCTCTCCTTTTCTCTCTTCCCTCTCCTTTTCTCTCTTCCCTTCCTTTTCTCTCTCCCCTTCCTTTTCTCTCTTCCCTTCCTTTTCTCTCTTCCCTCTCCTTTTCTCTCTTCCCTCTCCTTTTCTCTCTTCCCTCTCCTTTTCTCTCTTCCCTTCCTTTTCTCTCTTCCCTCTCCTTTTCCCTCTTCCCTCTCCCTCCCTCTCTCCCTCTCTTCCTTCCTCTTCTCTTCTTTCTAAACCTCCTTTGCATCAGAACATAAATTCTGACAATAGTGTGATTGGATGACATGCCTTTTAAGTTTCTTTCCCCCTCCTCCATCTCCTTGTGATTTGTGTGTTGATGAGACGTGAGGGTTTTTTGTTTGTTTGTGCTGTGTCCTGTAGGATTCTCCTGTAATTGTGGTGTGGTTGAATGTGCTTCTCTGTCCTCTAATTGTCTCGTAGATTAGTCATTACTGCTAGAATTTTGATCAGGTTCAGGTTTGACTTTTTTTTGGAGGCTGGGTTGGGGGCGAGAGTACTTTGGCGATGGTGCCAGATACTTGCCTCTGTTTTTGCTGTGCTAGCACTGAAAAATACCAAGATCTGTTCATTAGGAGTTGTAAAATGGTGATATTCTAATTCTCTGATGCTTTCTGTTTATTAAGTAGATTACTTCTAGAAATGAAACTCTCCCGTATCTATCCGGTGACCAGATAGTACAGTACTTAAGAGAAGAGCAGGATAACTTCTCGAACATTCCAGAAATCATTATGTTTGAAATATTAATTTTAGATGCTACTTCTGAACTTCCTACTGCGAAAGATGAGGAATTAGGCACCATTTCCCTTTTTCTTCTGTTTATCCTTTTCTGAACCTCCCAAGTTGATTATTTATATTATTATTTTTATATTGTCAAGGTTTATCATATTTTATAGTATTTTGTGACATTAATTCTTATGATTTGTTGCTATGTTGAATCAAAAATAATAAAGCAGTAAGAGCAGTCACAAAATTATGATTATTTTCACATTATTCAACGTAGAAGCAATCTAGGAATTGCTAGGCTAGGAAATGTAGTTCTATGTTATTAAGTATTACGACTACGGTTTGAAATAGACTTTTCTAAGTTCAAAGTACCAAGAGTTCTCTTGTTTTTCTTTACAGCTTCCTTTATTTCTTTTGAATCATACAAAGTTTTACTGCTTTTTGATGGTCCTCATTCTTGATTGTTTTTTTCTCCCAATTTTCTGTACTATCTGTTTTTTAAAAATTATCATTTAAGATATATGGTTGGTGAAACTTCTGACTTCTTAAAAGTCTAGTGACATGTTTTTGCCTTCTCAATGAATTGAATGACTGTTTTGATACTGAATTCTGGGTTTAATATATTTTACCCATAGAAATTTAAAAACATAGTTTGCTTTTATCAAAGCATCCGGTAGTGTTGTTTATTTTATTGAATAATTAGTTCTAACTGTGTGCCAAGCACTATTTTAAGCAATTTATATCCATCAATTCATATATTTAAATAGCTTGAAAATCCGACTAGGAGAGAGTAATATTATTGTCCTAATTTTGCAACCGGAGTGTAGAGCAGGTGGTGAACTTCCAAGCTCACAGAACCATAGTGTGTTCAGAGTAGGACTGACACCCAGGCAGTAGGTCAGTGTCAGTATTCATGTCTTTACTCACTTCACATACCGCCTCTCTGACTTCCACTTCTTCGTAGCTCATTTATGTTTTTCTCTTTATTTTTGGAACTCTGCAATTTTAACCAGCTGTGCCTGTGTGGTATGCTCTTTTGTCATTATTTCTGCTAGTACTTGGAGAAGTTTTTCAATCTAAATATCTATATTTTTCTTTAGTTCTGGCCGAATACTATTATATTAATTAAAAAATATATCTTTGGTTACTTTTATCCTGCCTGTTTTTAAATCTTTGTTCTTTCCTACTGGAATTACTAGTAAGTGGGTAAGTTTAGAACTTTTTGATCTATCTTATATACTTCTTGTCTTTTATTTCTGTCCTCCAAAAGAATTCCTGCACTTTATTTTTATTTATTTATTTATTTATTTATTTATTTATTTATTTATTGAGACAGAGTCTCACTCTGTTGCCTGGGCCAGAGTGCCATGGTGTCAGCCTAGCTCACAGCAACCTCAGACACCTGGGCTCAAGCGATCCTTCTGCCTCAGACGCCCGAGTAGCTGGGACTACAGGCATGCGCCACCATGCCCGGCTAATTTTTGCTATATATTTTTTGTTGGCCAATTGATTTCTTTCTATTTTTAGTAGGGACGGGGTCTCACTCTTGTTCAGGCTGGTTTCAAACTTCTGAGCTCAAACGATCCTCCTGCCTCGGCTTCCCAGAGTGCTAGGATTACAGGCGTGAGCCACCGCGCCCGGCCAAATCTCCTGCACTTTAAACCCTGCGATGACTATCTTGAAATTCCAGCATGCTCATGTCACTGTTCTGTGCAAGGGTCCTTTCCTGAAGTTATGTTTTTAATTTTAACGAGCACTTACTTGTGCCCCCCCTGCCAGTTATTTCTTATATGAGATAATCCCGTTTTGATTGTTTGAGAATACTAATTAGAGTATTTTGAAAGTCTATTCTGTCCCTGAATCATGTTTATTCATCTGGCTTCTTCTTATTTTTGCTTTTTTTTTTTTTGCTCCAAACGTTTAGTGATACCACTGCTTTGTGTATGTATGTACATGTATGTGTATCTATATCTATTTATCTATATTAATGTATGTTCAATCACCATGTGTGTATCTATATCTATTTATCTATATTAATGTATGTTCAATCGCCAGTTCATGCAGGTGGCTGACTTTATTTTCTCTAGCATGCCTCTCCCTTAAATGGGAGAGAAATGGGGATAATGATTGTGAATTCTGTTTGTCTTAAGGCATTTGTGCGTTTGGGGTAGAGTTTAGGGAAGCTGTCTTACGGGGCATGTGAGAGGAGAGGAGGTAGGCAGGCTACAAAATCCCTTAATTGTCAGTCAAGGAGGGTTTTATTCTGCCACCATGGAGACTGTTGAAAAGCTATGAAGTGTCCAATAGGCACACACGTCTCGGTGGTAGTTGAGGTTATTTAATTTTAAAAACTATATATTATTCCTTTCAATTTCTGTGTATTATATTTTTTTAAAATTTCTAAGTTTTCAGGACATAAATCCTTATTAATTTGTTTGGAGCTAACTACTGAGTAAATGAACCTATTGGGTATTTATTTTGTCCTAGGAGTGCCATAAAAAATTCCTGAGAAACACTAAGGGCATTGTGAACCCCTGGGAACCCACAAATTAACTTAGTTCGTCTTGTGGAATCGGATGCTAACTTCCTGAAGTTCTCTTTCCCTCTGCAACATACCTGGGGTTGATTTTCTCTTGCCTGCTTGGTTCTTACTGACTCACTCTCTCCGTCTGAGCCCGGTAAAATCTGGAGAACTGAGAGAAGACGGTTTGGCGGACGTGCGGTCAGTGAGGTTGAAGATTGCATGAAGTGGGTGACGGAGGGTTTCTTGAACACGTCTAGACTTTTTACCTGGGGACGAGACCCTCTCTAATCTGGCCCATGCCTGCTTTTCCACCGTCCTCTCCCATCAGCCTCCCTGTGCTGTGGCGTGCAGGGCCACCCGCAGAACCTCAACGTGGCCGTGTGGTTTCGCCTCTCTGTGCATCGAACCGGTGCTGATCCTTCTACCTGGAATGTAATCCTCTGTAGCTCTCATCGTCCCCAGCAAGCTTCCGTAGTTCTTCATCTTTCCAATTGTCCTCGAAGGCTCAGAGCACAGCCCCTGACCCTCCCGTCTGGCTGAGAACCGGGAAGTCCTGTGCCCCTGCTGCCAGGGCGCCCGGCGTAGCGTCCCGTATCGTTTGACTTAATTCTCTTTAACCCCCCTCCGGGCTGTAGGGGAGAGGCCCGTGTTGCGTGCGTGTTTGCGCGTGTTGCAGCAAGCGCGGTGCTCGGGGAAGGGCAGCTGCTCCGTAAACCTTCGAGACAAGACAGAGTAGCTCGTGAGCCAGAAGCCATGCTCAGGCTCCGAGCTCTACTAAGTGCTTCTTAAACATCCCAGCCCACAGTAATTTCATTTTTCTTTAAACTTACTCATTTTTTACAGTCACATACTTTTTTGCGTTACCATTTTAATGTTTAACGTTAGCGTGTGCATCTCCATTATATGTTCCTTAATGTCATGGAGTTAGGAATCTACCTACCTACCTACCTGTGTTTCACAGCCCTAATGTACGGAATGGCAAATGTCTCAATATTTAGTTTCCATGGCAAAATGCCCAAGTATGTTTTCTTCTTCTTCTTCTTCTTCTTCTTCTTCTTCTTCTTCTTCTTCTTCTTCTTCTTCTTTCTTCTCTCTTCTTCTTTTCTGTCTTCTTCTTCTTCTTCTTTTCTTCTTCTTCTTCTTCTTCTCTTCTTCTTCTTCTTCTCTCTTCTTCTTCTTCTTCTTCTTCTTCTTCTTCTTCTCTTCTTCTTCCTTTCTCTCTCCTTCTCTTTCCTTCTCCTCTCCTTCTCCTTCTCCTTCTCCTTCTCCTTTCCTCCTCTCCTCTCTCTCTCTCCTCTCTCCTCCTCCTCTCTCTCCTCTCCTTCTCCTTCTTCTTTTTTTTTTTTTGATTCAGAGTCTCACTCTGTTGCCTGGGCTAGAGTGCCATGGTGTCAGCCTAGCTCACAGCAACCTCACACTCCTGGGCTCAAGCAATCCTCCTGCCTCGGCCTCCCGAGTAGCTGGGACTACAGGCGTGCGCCACCATGCCCAGCACATTTTTTCTATTTTTAGTAGAGATGGGGGTCTCGCTCTTGCTCAGGCTGGTCTCGAACTCCTGAGCTCAAACAATCCTATGCCTCGGCCTCCCAGAATGCTAGAATTACAGGCATGAGCCACTGTGCCCAGCCTCTTTTGCTTTTTAGTAGTTTTCTTCTCAGTTACCTTCACACTCTTCTTTCTCTCTCCTGCCATTTATTATATATTAGTAATGCTCACAATTGGATTTTTAATTTTCTTCTCTCATGGTACTGTCCCTCCCTGTCTGAGCAATGGCCCCACTTATGATAAATACCCAAATGACTCACATATTCAGATCTAGCCCAGACCTTGCGTTTGCCCTCTCGATTTGAATGTTTAACTGCTTACTAACATGGGATGTGGCAAATCTTAAAAGCAAGTCAAATTCAGGTTGTCTACAAATGCACTCACGTTCTTCCCTGCCCTGCAGCCTCGTTCCAAGGCTGTTGGCCCAGGGGATGGCTGAGCCACCCGCTCTGCAGCCTGAGCTAGAACCTTCTGTTGTCCTTCACGGCTCCCCACTTCTCTACCCACATCCAGTCCACCACCAAAGCATGTCACACTCCCCTCCTAAATGTCCTGCGAATAGACCCACATCTCTCCAGCTTTTTTAGCTCAAGCTCCCATCAACCTGTGTTACATCGAGCTAGCATCACTCCTCATTCCCTGCATAGCGGCTCTCTCTGCCCCGCTCCCAGGAAGTTTGTCCCATCCTATCTGTTCTCTGTACTGTAGTCGGACTAACCTTTTCTTTTTTCTTTTTTTCTTTTTCTGAGACAGAGTCTCAGTCTGTAGCCCGGGCTAGAGTGCCATGGTGTCAGCCTAGCTCACAGCAACCTCACACTCCCAGGCTCAAGCGATCCTCCTGCCTCAACCTCCCGAGTCGCTGGGACTACAGGCACATGCCACCGTGCCCAGCTAATTTTTTCTATTTTTAGTTGTTTGGCTAATTTTCTTTGTATTTATGGTAGAGACGGGGGTCTCGCTCTTGCTCAGGCTGGTCTCGAACTCCTGAGCTCAAGCGATCCTCTCGCCTTGGCCTCCCAGAGTGCTAGGATTACAGGCGTGAGCCACCGAGCGCGCCCGGCCCAGACTAACCTTTTCAAAATGCAAAGATTATAACTCCACCCTCTTCAAATCCACCAAAGGCTAGAGCTGGACTCCAGGAGGAACGGAATATTCTGCAATGTGCTAAGGGCTCTGCATGTTCTCTCCAGCCTGGCCAGCCCTGTCCCTGCTCCCCCTGCCCTCGCCCTGCTGGCTCCTTCCTAGACCCCGGCTCCTGGGTCCCCAGCCCTTTCTGCTGCAGAGCCTCGACACGTGGGCTCTGACGCCCCTTCTGCCTGCAAGGCCGCTTTTCCCGCCGTGCTCGGTCGATTCCGGTCTACTTCTTAGAACTCAGCCCAAGCATTACTTCTCCAGGGAAACTTCCTCTGACCCCTTGACTTTGTCACCCTTGCAATTCTCCATTGTTTCTACGATGGGCTCGTTAGTGACTGTCTTGCCGGGTAGAGTTTAGGCCCCGCGAGAACGGACGGCGTGTTGCCTTGCTCATCCTCGCGTTCCGGGCGCCTGGAGTTGTGCTTTCCCGGGGATTCGGCAGGGAGTTGCCGGCAGAATAGAGACTGTGACTTTCCCTCTTTGCAGGCCGGTCACTTTCACTCACAACTGCCGCCCGGAGACGCCCCAGGAAAGGACGTTCGCTGTCCTTAACACTTCTCAGCTCGGGCCTGAGGCGCAGACAGCGGCAAGAATGGGTAATTTTCAATTTAAAATATTTATGAATTATGAAACGATGATTCTATAATGTACACAGACTCAATGGACATGAAAAACCTGTGTGACTGTTTCTTCTTTCTTGAACAATAACCAAAACCATAGCTCCTCCAAAAAGGGTCGACTGGAAAATAATCCAATATCCTTTCCTATTTTTTTTTTAACGTTTAGAAGAATGTACGACGATTTTGAAGAAAATGTCCCAGTTAATTCTGAAAGAAATGCCAAAAGCTGAGTGAGTATTACTGCAGCAACAAAGAGACGTGAACTCGGGTATCGCACTCCCTGTATGCCGATTCTGCCTCGTGCCGAGCTACGCTCTGCAGACTCTCCCACCCTCTTGCAATCAGAAATCCACGTCTAACTTTTGACCTCTCCAAAATTTAGCTACTACTGTTGTTTCCCTGAAAACAAGACAGGGTCTTATATTTATTTTTGCTCAAGAAGACACCCTAGGGCTTATTTTCAGGGGATGTGTTATTTTTTAGAACCATTTCCTTTAGAACCATTGGCCCCATCTCTCCTGTGGAGCACTAGAGCTCTCACGGGGCGGATGAGAAGGGCTGCTCGTGTTCTTTCCCGCTCCGCGACGACACGCACGGGTTGTGCAGATGCGCTGCGTGGCCACGCCCGCCACTAGGGCTTATTTTCGGGGTGGGGCTTCTATTGCGCAAGTGCTTAGACATCCTGCTAGGGCTTATTTTACCGGTAGGTCTCATTTTCAGGGAAGCACGGTAATTAATAGTCCCTCTTGACCAGAAGGCTTGCCTATAACATAAACAGTCAATTAGCACATGTCTTGTATTTTATGTGTATTATTATGCAATATTATGTGCCGTGTTCTTACCAAAAAGAACAAGCTTGAGAAAAGAAGATAGTATGAAAATCATAAGGAATCAAAAACGTATTTATTAAGGTGGGAACGGCTTATGATAAAGGTCTTCATCCTTGTTGTCTTCACTTTTTACTGGGATGTGAAATTCACTGGAGAAGGAAGCTGCTCATTAGGAGGCGGTTAGTGTCACCCGGCGTTGTAAGCAGACACTCGCAACTCCCGAGCTCTCCGAAGGAGGCGGCCACGCGGTTATTACAGCGTGCGCTACAGTCAGTTTTACGCCGCTGTGATGCCATCCTGCGCCTTAACGCTTGTTTGCATGTCTCTCCTCTGCGAGTGGTGCCATGCACAGCCCAGAGGGTTTGCGTGCATATATTTTGACTTTTTATTATAAATTTATGCGTATGTTTTGGTAGTAAGCGATAGAATAGAATACTTACATATATTTTATGCATTCGTGATATACCTTTTTCTTAATTTTTTTTGGTAATTGTAGGCTATGCAGTTTGCCAATTTTTTTCACATTGTCACAAATCTCCAGAATGTTTCCCAATATATTTATTAAAATATTCCCCATATAGGTGGACCTGTACAGTTCAATCCAATGTTGTTCAAGGGTCAGCTGTGCATAGTCTATGTGTATCAGTGTGTGTGCATATCAGTGTGTGTGTTCATGTTAGTGTGTATAATATATCCATATACAATATGTATCGGCATATATAGTGTATTCTAAATAATAGTATATATAACTATATGTAGTGTATTCATATATATATACATATATATATATACGTGTGATTGTTCAACACAATACTTTTAGAGCTGTTTGATGGTAGTAGAAACCATTTTCTCTTGCTTCATTTGTCGACAGCCATTAGTGAATCAATTGTTTTAAAAGGGAATGAAATTGATTAAGCAGGAAAAAAATATGTCTATTTTCAGAATACAGGTACTAGATTCCTGATCCAACCCAGGCTCTGCCATATGGCTGTGGACGATTTGCACACTCTCTCTCTCTGAGCCTCAGTTTTTATTATCCGTAAAAATGGGAATGACTCCGCTTTTTTCCTGTGAAAGATAGCTGTGCATATGGTTGTATTTCAAAAGTCTGTGCATAGACAGTGCCACAGGACAATTACTCAGCCGGTTCGGCTGTTGACGGAAATGATAATGAGATAATATAATAGGAATGTTACTGCCCTTTTTGAACACTATGTAATGTCTATGTGCTTTTTGTTCCATTGTTCATTTTAGCTATTCCAGTTTGTTCAGTGATTTCACTGAGTCTGAGTTCTTTTTGGTGGACGGGGACTCACTGCTCATCACATGTGCATGCGACACATTGTTACAGCCCGGGCAGAGTCTCCACCTCTTCTACCTGATCGAATGCTACCTCGTGGATCTTATCAGTAAAGGAGGACAGTTTTCCGTGGTTTTCTTCAAGGTAACGTACGACAGTGGAATTCTTTTGTATAATTTTAGAACTAAAAGCTAAAATTCTGTCCTTACTACAAGGTAGATTATATTTATAAAAATTCAGCAAATGTAAAAGGTCAGAAGAAAAAAAAAAAACCACACAATCCCAGTATTCAGAAATTGCTGCACTTAAGATTATTTTTTTATGCACATCATGGGAACTTTATCGTAAGGACCCGTGGGATCACGGGGATGGTGAGAAAGGTCCTCTCCCACGGCTGCCGACCTCTGGATTCCAGGCTCCCAGTCGGACAACTGCCGCGTCCTCACGGCTCAGCGGGGGGTTTGCTGGAGCCCAGGAGAAAATAGGACCGAGCCCAGGCAAACTCATTAACTCTACTTTGCTATGGATTCTTCTAAGAAACCGCCTCCAAGAGAATACTATAGTGGGTTTGCTTTTTTTGATTAATAATATAATCAACACACTTATTCAACAGTTTCAAACTCAGATATGAGTAACCACGGCAACCCTTTCCTAAGCCTATATCAAAGGTTAGAGGGTTTTGTGTGCGTTTGTTCAACCCCTTTGCAGTCTACCGTGTTTCCCCGAAAATAAGCCCTGCCCATACAATAAGCCCCAGCAGGCTGTCTAAGTATGTGCGCAGTAGCAGCCCCACCCCGAAAATCAGCCCTAGTGACGGGCGTGGCCGCGCAGCGCGTCTGCACGACCCGTGCGTGTCGTCGCGGAGCGGGAAAGAAGATGAGCAGCCCTTCTCATCTGCCCCGTCCTGACAGCAACTGTCCTAGAGGTGACCAGAAAGGTGCGGGCAGCCCCACCAACAAGGCTGGCTCCCCCTGTCGGGTCCCGGCCGTCCTGTGCGTGCTGCAAGCTGAGGCTTTGAGGGGAAAATAACACAGCCCCTGAAAACAAGCCCCGGGGTGTCTTCTTGAGGAAAAATAAATATAAAACCCTGCCTTGTTTTCAGAGAAACACCGCAGATTGTTGTTGTGTTTTTGAACATTGGGGGCTGCTCGCCAGAATGTGTTGAACAGGCAGCGGGGCTGGCTCTTGGTCTAACGTTTACATCTAGGGACTGCCCTCACTTTGGTCCGATGAGAAAAACTCAGGCTGTGTACGGTGCGCGGCAGTGACCTGGGATAATTCTCTAGAACACAGTGGCCACCTCGGCTTCCGGCTCTGGGTAATCCAGATCCGCCACTTGCTTTATGCGTGATGCCCTGCCCTTTCTCTTTCGGAAGCATGATGGGAGAGGAAAAGAATTAGAGAGTGAGAAGGGAAAGCGGGATAAACTCTGAGTATCATACGCCTTCTTTTTTTTTTTTTTTTGAGACAGAGTCTCGCTTTGTTGCCCCGGCTAGAGTGAGTGCCGTGGCGTCAGCCTAGCTCACAGCAACCTCAAACCCCTGGGCTCAAGTGATCCTCCTGCCTCAGCCTCCTGAGTAGCTGGGACTACAGGCATGTGCCACCACGCCCGGCTAATTTTTTGTATATATATTTTTAGTTGGCCAATTAATTTCTTTCTATGTATAGTAGAGACGGTGTCTCGCTCTTGCTCAGGCTGGTTTTGAACTCCTGACCTTGAGCAATCTGTCCTCTTCGGCCTCCCAGAGTGCTAGGATTACAGGCGTGAGCCACCGCGCCCGGCCTCATACGCCTTCTTAAAGGAGACACAGGCGTTTAAACCCGAAGTGTGGTGTTTGGCGTGTATCTGTGAAACGGCAGTTAGCTCTCCGACTATCAGCGCAGAACTGTGCTGGGTCTCCCTCCCGTGATGTCCCTGATGGCGTGTGTCAAACCCACCAAACTGCTGGGCCGTGATCTCAAAGCCATGTCCCTCTCCCCCCCTGCGCAGGATGCCGAGGACGCGTATTTCGACGCCCCCAAGCTGCTCTCCTTGAGAGCCGGGCTGATTCTCCATCTTCAGAACAACACCTCCGTCGATGTGCAGACCAAGTTTTCCGGGTGCCTGTCGAGAGAGTGGGGAACGTTCCTGGACGAGAGCTGCCCCTATTTCCTGATCGTCGCGGACGAGGGCCGGAACGACCTGCAGACGCACCTTTTCAACTTCTTAATCGTGCAGTCTTGGGCACGCAAGGTCAACGTGGTGCTGTCCTCGGGGCAGGCATCCGACGTGCTCCGGCTGTACGCCTACTTCCTGCCCAGCATGCACCGGAACCAGGGCTTTTTCCGGGAGGTAACGGACACCTAAAAAACAGCGTTCTGTAATTTCACAAAATTTTTCTCGGTTACTTGACTTAGTTTTCTTTGCACCTCCTCTATGGAAATTATCATAGGCTTAACAAAGAGGTATAAAAAATTAATGACAACAATAATAATTTAATAGTAACACAAATGCAAGCATTTATTGAGCACTTAATGATATGAAATTGGCTGGGTGGTTCTCAGGAATGTTTCTCATTTAACCTTCACGATAATCCCGTAAGGTGCGTGTCAGTATCGTGCGTGTTTCGCAGATGAGGAAATAGGTATTTGAATCAGTAACCTGCTCACCTTCCACGCCAAATGAGTAACAGAACACGGATTTGCAGAGACACAGTCCGACTCCAGCCCCTATGTCCTTAACCACTGTGTGCATATTGACCCCGAGTTAATGAAGGCCAGACATGCATTAAATTGGAGGCGAAAGTTATGTGTCTGCGGCTGAGACATGCAACTGAAATGGTTTAATACGGTGGCCGTCAGTGAGAAAACAACACAGAAGGTTAATGAAGACGGGAAATAACTGAAATAAGTTTATTTCTTAATATTAAGTCATTAATAGGAGAATCTCCAAAGTTTAGCAATTCGCATTTAATTCCATGACCTCATTAGTTTGCTACAGTGGTACTTCTGAGAATTGCTGTGTTGAAATTTTCGTAGTCAAAAATGCACACTGATTTTTATAAATAGAACCAGCCTCTGCTTATGTCTCACCGCTAATCATGAATTCTGCACAGGAAGACCGTTGCATATTTCCTCAGGGTAATTTTTGAGTGGATTAACCTTTGTCATTTGTGTCACACCCCCCATGTATTTGGAAACACCCGCATGGCGGCCATGAAATGACAAAAGAGTCTATGTTGCTCTAGTACAGCCACATGCCACGTGCTGAGAAGCGTGTCCTTGCTCGGCCATGCCGTGATTGCCAGAGCATCGCAGAGTGCACTTGCACAGACCTGTGTGGGGGCAGCCTGCTGCTCCCCTAGGCAAGCTGGTGCAGCCTGCTGCTCCTGGGCCAACAGCCTGCACAGCACCTGGCTGTACTGAACACTGTAGGCAATCGTAACACAATGGTAAGAATATGTGTATATAAGCATAGAAAAGATACCATAAAAACACAGTATAAAAGATGAAAAAGATCGTATACCCAGGCCGGGCGCGGTGGCTCACACCTGTAATCCTAGCACTCTGGGTGGCCGAGGCGGGTGGATTGCTTGAGGCCAGGAGTTAGAAACCAGCCTGAGCAAGAGCGAGACCCCCGTCTCTACTATAAATAGAAAGAAAACTAATTGGCCAACTAATATGTATAGAAAAAATTAGCCGGGCATGGTGGTGCATGCCTGTAGTCCCAGCTATTCGGGAGGCTGAGGCAGGAGGATTACTTGAGCCCAGGAGTTGGAGGTTGCTGTGAGCTAGGCTGACGCCACGGCACTCACTCTAGCCCGGGCAACAAAGCGAGACTCTGTCTCAAAAAAAAAAAAAAAAAAAAAAGATCGTATACCCATATAGGGTGCTTACCATGAATGGAGCTTGCAGGACTGGAAGTTGCTCTGTGTGAGTCAGTGAGAGAATGGGGAGTGACCATGAAGGTCTAGCACATTCTACACACTACTGTGGACTTTATAAACACTGTGCACTTTGAATACACTAAATTTATAAAAATAATTTTTTTCTTTAATAAGTTAACCTTGGCCTACTTATTTTTTTTTACTTTATAAAATGTCTTAATTGTTTTAAAACTTTTTGATTCCTTTGTTGTAACACTTAGCTTAAAACATAAACACATTGTACCGTTTGTACAAAAATATTTTCTTTTATATCCTTATTCTTTCTATCAGCTTTTTTCTGTTTTTATAATTTTTTAATTTTTTTTTGCTTTCTAAACGTTTTTGTTAAAAACCAAGACACAACCAGGCACCAATACTGTGATTGATCTTATCAGGAGTCCACCTGACCTTGAGAAATAATAAAGTATAGCATTTTACAATAAAGTATACTACCTAGTTAAACTGGGTAGCATACACTGTACACGGTAGACAACTTAAATTATTAGTAATTACATTACGAGTAATCTATAAAGATTTCTTAAGTGGGATGAGACTTAAGGGTTGAATACTTTAAATAGAGGGAAAGAGGAGAGGTACAATGAGGCAAATACTATAATTCAGAATGAAGCAATACCATGGCTAAATATTAGGGGAAAAGTGATCCATGGGGAAACAGTGAAGAGAATGACTTTAGAAGAGCAGGGATTTCATTGGGTGAGGGTCAGAGATCTATAAGTATTTTCTTCCTATCAATATTATATAACTACTTAAATTGCTTCTACTTTTCCAAAATAAATTATTTTGTAAAATTAAAAAACAAAAACAAAACAAAAAGCAAAACCAAGACACAGACACACACATCAGCCGAGGCCTGCCCAGGTCAGGACCCTAATGTCACTCTCCTCCGCCTCCACATCTTGTCCCGACCAGGAGGTCTTCAGGGTCAAGACCATGCGTGGGGCTGTCTTTGTCCGTGATGACGATGCCTTCTTCTGGAATACCTCCCGACGGACCTGTCTGAGGCTGTTGTGCAGTTAACTTCTTTCTTTTTATATGTAGAAGGAATACACTGTAACATAAGAACAAAATATATTGTAGAGCATAGCGATGCATAAACCAGTACCGTAGCTGCTCACCATCACGATCAAGTACTACATAGCGTGCACAGCGACGCATAAACCAGTACCGTAGCTGCTCACCATCACGATCAAGTACTACATAGCGTGCACAGCCGTACGTGCTGCACTTTATGCGCCTGGCAGGGTGCCAGGTCTGCTTACCCCGCGTCATCGCCACGGACGCTCGAGTAATGCGCCGTGTCACGGAATCACGACAGCCACGACGTCACCAGGCAATAGAAAGTTTTCAGCCACACTGTAATCTTCAGGGACCGCCGCCCTACATGCGGTCTGTTGTTGACGGTTGCTAGGCGACACATGCTGTACCCCTGTCCTGAAAGCGTTTGCAACCCCGGTTGCCTGCCGTGAGCAGGAATAGCGCTGGTTATGCGGGGAGGAAGAGCTGTTATCGATTAGCTCATTTAATTCTGTCTGAGCAATTTCTGAATCTGAGTTTTAAGAGTGCCCTAGGAACATCCTGCCTAATCCCTCCTTAAGAATAACTTTTTTTTTTTTTGGCGTATTATGGGGGTCCAGATTTTAAGGTTTCAATAAATGCCCTTTCCCCCTCCCCCAACAAGTCTGAGTTTCCAGCATGACCATCCCCCAGATGGTGCACATCTCACTCATTAGAATAACTTTTTAGATGAAGGATTTTATTTCTGGTAAAATAATTTATTTCCTAATTTGTTGAACATTCTCCTTAAAGACGTCATTAACTAATTTGAGGGCTATGTGGGATATAATTAAAAATGAACTGTGTACTGATAGTGGCCGGTGCTGGGTGCAGGGACCCATGGGGAGCTCATGCTGTCCTTTATTCATGTGTGTGTTTGAAATTTGTCGTGATAACATATCTTGCATTAAATGGGCGTGATGGTTCTGTGGGGGGTGTTGGGAATGTTCTAAATCTAGGTTGTGATGATGGTTGCAGACTTGGTGAATATGCTGAAAGCCATTGAACAGTATACTGAAAATGAGCGAATTTTATGTTACGTTAATTACACCTTTATGAAACTGTTAACATGTGAAATGCACTATATTCCCAGACAAAAAATAATTTTCAAAGAGAAAATTATGATGTTTGGCAGACTTTAAAATCTTTGCTGACCATCTGCAATTATATCATTGTAATTTTTTTTGCCTATAAATATATTATAACATAATTATATCTTAAATATCTAATTTTCTATAGGAGAAACTTACGTCTTTATTGATGACAATTTACCTGACTTTCCTTCATTTTATAGAATAAAAAGAAGATTGAGGATGCTTATCAAACCCTGCTTAAGCAAATGCAAGAATTTAGGGTTTCAGCACTGGCATCTCTTTTTGGAAATTTAAAATGGAAAAATATGATGGAAGAGGTAATGACACTTTTTCAAAAAACTTTTTATTTGAACTAATTTTGTAATTATAGAAAGGTTGCAGAAATAGTACAGAGTTCCCATATACTTCTTACCCAGCTTCTCTTAATGTTGACACCTTAAGTAACCAGGGCACATTTATTAAAACCAGGCAATTAACATAGACACAATACTATTAGCTATTCTTCAAAACTTAATTGAGTGTTGCTTACTTTTGCACAAATATCTTGCTGTTCCAGGATTTGATCCAGCGAACCACATCCATTCAGTCGTTATGTCTTCCTAGTATCCTCTAGTCTGCAATAGTTTCTCAGCCTTGCTTTGTCTTTCATGACTTTAACGATTTTGAAGAGTATCGATCAGTTTATGTTTGTTTTTTTTTTTTTTTTTTGAGACAGAGTCTCACTTTGTTGCCCAGGCTAGAGTGAGTGCTGTAGCGTCAGCCTGGCTCACAGCAACCTCAATCTCCGGGGCTCAGCGATCCTCCTGCCTCAGCCTCCCGAGTAGCTGGGACTACAGGCATGCGCCACCATGCCTGGCTAATTTTTTTTGTATATATATTTTTAGTTGGTCAATTAATTTATTTCTATTTTTGGTAGAGACGGGGTCTCGTTCAGGCTGGTTTCGAACTCCTGACCTTGAGCAATCCGCCCGCCTTGGCCTCCCAAAGTGCTAGGATTACAGGCGTGAGCCACCACGCCCGGCCCAGTTTATTTTTTTGAATATCCTTCTGAGAGTGTGATTTGTGTACAATATTTAGTTGTAAAAATATTCAGTATTTTTAGGAAGTTGATTACTAGCGCAGACTCTTGTTTTCAGCTACAGGGGTGTCCAAAAAACTATATTATGTATGTATGTAGTGTAGGAAAATGCATGATAGAATTTGAAAAATATAAAAATGTCCTGTGAGTAGTCCAGTGCCTCACGTTGGAATAAAAGATATTACCAGAAGTATAATATCTATATTTTAGAATGTTGTGGTCTTATTCCTCTAAATCTCTTTCATGCTTATTATATGAGGAGCATGCATAGTATCACCACTTAGGGGTAGAAACTCCCACATTTTGACTATATTCTTTCAGTGATGTGTTCTATTTATTTTTACACAATTGAGAGCATGTGATATATTTTTATATTCACTTTCTAAATTATATAAACTTTAAAATTTAATTTAAAATCCTTCACAAACTTTTTATTGCTGGATACCTAACATTTCCCAAATTTTAAACATTTAAAAATTTTTAAATTGGCTTTTACAAATAACTCTGTGATGAACATTCTGGTGCATAAATCTTGGTACATATTTTGGATTATTTACCTAGGTTAGAGCCCTAGAACTCTCACAGTCAATCAAAAAATATTGACATATTTAATAGTTACATGTATTGACAAATAGCCTTGCATTAAGTCTGTACCTATTTATACTCTCATTAGCAACATAGAAGAGAAATGACATATCACATGATTTCTAGTACTATTATTAAAAAAAAGTCCTTTGCAAGTAAAAATATGGTATCCAATTGGGCTTTTCTGTTATTCTTAAAGAGGCTGAACTTTTAAAAATTTTAATAATATTTGTATTAGTATTTAGTGAATTATAATCTTATTAAAGGATTAGACATTTTCTTATTAACTTATTGGAGCTCTTTACACATTCATGTTTTTAATGGTTTTATTGAAATATTTGCTGAAATTATTTTCCCATTTAAAATTTTTGTTTATCAGATTTTAACAGAAATAATGATAGTTCTATGCAGTCATATCTATCCATCTTTTCTGTATGAGTTCTTCCAGTGAGGTCGCTTATGAATAAAAATATTTTCTAAATACCATGACGTGCTTTGGTGTTTTCCTGTGGCAGGCATGTGAGACTATATCTCTGCTGAAGCAAGTCTGGCCAGAAGAATCAGACATCCGCCGTTTCCTTTGCGTCGCTTCATGCTCGTTGTCTCTGAGAATGTACCATCGCTTTTTAGAAAACAGAAAGACCTCCTCTGATCAAAAATCTGATGCCCAACAGGTGAGATGATTGCGACTTTTGGGGACAGATCATTGCTTTCCACATTGTCATTCCCTCCCTTTGGTACTTCATGTTTTCCCCTCATTTATTTATATAAACTTCAAAAAACCAAAAAGGGAAAAAAACTCTAGCATTTATATGTATCAGGAAACAGCCATTGTGTCGTATGATTTTTAGTGTGTTACTATACGGATGTCTCAGTACCTATGTAGTCTGAATCATCAAAAAGAAAAAAGAAACAAAAAGGGATATTAGAACCTGCTGGGACACTACCATGCCACATTGTCTGGGCCATTCATATGCCTTGTGTCACTGAACCCTCACAACGGCATTTCAAGAAAGGCATTGTGATTCCTGTTTCACATACATACTCACTGAAGCTCAAATAGTCCAGGTAACGTTCCTCAGACCGAAGGTGTTAAGTAGCAGTGTGGGTTGAGTGTAGGTCTGTCTTGTGCAAGGCCCGCAATAGCAAGCCGTCTTTTGCAAGAGCATGGCCGTGTCTTGGTGTCAGCCCAGCCTGGAGACATACTGAAGTTCTCAACACTCTGCCTGGGTCGCAGGGTCCATCAGGAATCTGCTGGCCGGTCCGGATTCTCTCTGTAAATAAACAGTCTTCTCTGCATATCTGTGCTCACGGGTGGGGCATGCACACACACACACACACACACACACACACACACACACACACACACATGTGTACATGTACTGTGTTTCCCCGAAAATAAGACCTACCCATAAAATAAGCTCTAGCAGGATGTCTAAGCAGGTGCGCAATAGAAGCCCCACCCTGAAAATCAGCCCTAGTGACGGGCGTGGCTGCGCAGCGCGTCTGCACAACCCGTGCGTGTCGTCGCGGAGCGGGAAAGAACACGAGCAGCCCTTCTCATCCGCCCCGTGACAGCTCTAGTGCTCGACAGGAGAGATGGGGCCAGTGGTTCTAAAGGAAATGGTTCTAAAAAATAACACATCCCCTGAAAATAAGCTCCTGAGTGTCTTCTTGAGGAAAAATAAACATAAAACCCCGTCTTAGTTTTGGGGAAACATGGTACTATTCCCTACACAGTCTGAGTCCTGGGAGGGAGGATTCTTGGCAAAAGATTCCTATGGAAGAAAAATGAAGTTTTGGCTCTTTCTTCTACAGTTTCAGAAAAGTTCAGGGCTCCTATCATCTTTTACCTAGCATCCTTTATAAGCGCTTTACCGATATCTCCTCGAATATATTTTTAGTGAAATATTTCTGCGTGATTAGGCTTGCTGTTTTAAGTCATCCTCTCAGAAATGATACTAAGGCAAGGCGCTCTCTCTGGAGCTCCCGGTTTGGCCCCTGGAGGTGCCCTGAGGAGGTCTCGCTCTTGCTGCCCTGAAACCCTGCAAACGTTTGGAGACGGGTGTGCCGCCTTGTGCCCTGGCGTTGCACGTGTCCAATGGCTACCCTTGTTCTCGCCCAATGCGTTTCCCAGATGCGTTGCCATCCTGGCGTCCTCGCCCTGGTAATGTTCAGCGTCACTCTTCAAATTCGAGGGCCCTGGCAGCAGGGAGCATTTCCCGAGAGGCGGCCCCAAGGCAGAGCCCCGGGAAGCCACGACCTCGCGGGCGTGTGAGCAGCTCTCGGGGCGTCTGGCTTCACCAAGATCCTGAGAAGTGTTTTCTGTTTTACGCGGGCAGCTTCCCCTTCTCCTCCTCCCGCATCTGTGTAAACACGGCCCAGCTATGCATAAAGACAAGGACCGTCTCGGAAACGTGGAGTGACGCATGGAGTGATCCCCGCAGCGTGGAGCGAGGCCGCCTGCTTCTGCGGGGCTGCGCGGGTTTTGCGGGGTTTTCGAGGTTTCGTGGTCTGCTGCTCCCTGGCTCACTGCTCTTATTGTGTTTAGGTGACAAGCGGTGGCTTGACCCTGCAGGAGACGGAAGATTTCTGCAAGCTGCGTTGTCTCAGTGTGGCCTTTCTGCTCCACCTGCCTCTTTCCCAGAGAGCGTGTGCGAGATTCGTCACCTCCGCGTGGATTCAGGGCCTGCGGACGCTGCGCCGCACGGTAAAGGCACTCGTCATCTGTTCACTGCTTTCCGTTTTGACTGTGTGATAGGTAAAAACCACGTAACCGTCAAGTCAGATTTACACGGGAACAGTGACAGCCCTTCGTGGGCTTTAAAAGTTTAATGGTATAAAAATCCATCGCGCCCTAATTTCAACAACCGTGTTTGACAGGAATAACAAGCAGCACGATATATTCTAACCCAAGGACAAAGCCGCGCTACTTTTCCTTCTTTGAATCTCTATCACGATCAAGTTTTTGTTGTTGTTAATTTTTAAAACATTGTTTTAGAGGCAGAGTCTTACTCTGTCACCTGGGCTGGAGTGCAGTGGCCCGATCATAGCTCCCTGCAGCTCAGGGGCTCCGGTGATCCTCCTGCCTCGGCCTCCCGAGTGGCTGGGCCACAGGAACACACCAGCACGCTGGGGAAGGGCCAGGTTTGCGTGTCATCAGCTATAGCACATTGTTGGCGACCGTCGTGTTCTGCTCTTAAGAGGAATTGAAGAAATCAATGGGTTTATTGCTTTTGCCCTTTGTGGAGGATATCCAGAGAAAATTTGGAGATTTTAGGGAAAGAGAAAGAAAAAGAACTTCCCCAGAGGCCCACCACTCAAATCAATGCTCTGTTAAAATTTTAGGGTTTTTTTTCTCTTTATTTTAAATGCAGAGATCTTTCTATTGTTTGCTATTGTTTCTTCCATTGGAGTTTTCTCTCTCTCTCTCTCATATATATATATATATGAGAGAGAGAGAAATATATATATGAGAGAGAGAAATATATATATGAGAGAGAGAGAACTATATCTCTCATATATATATGAGAGAGAGAGAAAGAGACAGAGAGAGAGAGAGAGAAAGAGAGAGAAAACTCCAATGGAAGAAACAATTGCAAAATATAGGCCTAAGAAGGGGTTAGGGTGGGGTGGGTAAATGTGTTTTTATTTAAAGGCAAGGGGCATATATATACATATATATGTATATATACACACACATATATACATATGTATACATACATATACATATGTATATATATGTAAAGGCATATATATGTGTATATATATACGCACATATATATGTAAACACACTCACGTATGGTTTTTTCACATATTTTTCTATTTCTTCACAACGTTGGTTGGAATCATTTGTTACAGCTACTGGCTATCTTTTCATGGAAGCATCGCAATTTACTTCCCTTCCCCATAGGGAACATTAAGCAGTCTTTGCTGTGTCTCAGATGCTATTTTTCTCTCCGTGGGAGCCTTGCCTTTACCCTGGGGCTGTCGACGTGGGCTTGGTGCCCAGGGACAGGGTCAGTGCGCCAGTTGGCAGGGATCTCGGTCCAGGATTTGGTTCCTGTAGTCAAAATGCCCAAGGAAAGTGCTTTATAGACCGATTGGGAAGCCGGTCCACAACATGGAACTGGTGCACAGGCATCGTGCTAATAATCCCTGGGATAGAGTGAGAGAAATAAAAACACATTTACGCACCCCACCCTAAGCCCTTCTTGGGCCTACAGTTTGCAGAGAAGACAGATACTGAATTTTAAAAATGGCGGTGAGGGCGGAACCACAGGATGCTTCATAGTCTGGTGGTGAAAGGGAGGACTGCGAGTGGGGAAGAGAGAGAGGCAGGCCCCGGGAGTCCGGCGTCTCGGCCAGCTGGCCGGTGGGGACGCCACCACTCTGTGATGGGCACTTTGGTGCAGGAGGCTCCGGGCTTAGTTCTGGAAGCCTTGAGTCTGCAGTGCCGGGGGATGTCGAGGCAGCAACTTGAAATGCAGGCTTGGACGCAGGAGGGCGAAGCAGACCCGGGAGCATCAACTGAAGCCATGGGAACGGATGGCATAGTCCGGGGAGTGAGGCGTGGCCTGCAGGACTGGGACAGGGGCAGGGGCAGGGACAGGGGCAGGGGCACGGACACGGACAGGGGCAGGGGTAGGGACACGGACAGGGGCAGGGACACGGACAGGGGCAGGGACAGGGGCAGGGGCAGGGACAGGGACAGGGACAGGGACAGGGGCAGGGGCAGGGACAGGGGCAGGGGAGGGGCAGGGGCAGGGGCAGGGGCAGGGACAGGCAGTGCCCAGCACAGAGCGGTTGCAGAGGGACCGAGGCTCTGGCTCTGGCGTTGGGGAGGCATGGGTGGGCCGAGTGGCAGGGAGACCCGGGACCGAGGACAGTCCTGCAGGTCAGAGGCCGAGGGCGGCTCGGAGGCTGTGCGGGGTTGGCGAGGGCGCGTGCGGGACACAGCTGTGGGAAGGTGAGGGCCGGGAGGGGCGCCTTGCGTTTGATGCAGGGCGCTCTTCTGGCCGCGATTCAGAGACTAGTCAAGGGCGTGGGTGGGCCAGGAGAGCACAAGGCCGGGACAGGGTGCTGAGGGTCATGGGGCGCAGGAAGTTCAAGAAGCGTTGAGATGGCTGCGCCCCTGCGGGTGGGGCTGCCCCCGGGGAGGGAGAGCGGGAGGCGGGCGTGACAGTCACCCTCACTCGGCGGGGACCGTGAGCGAGGAGATGAGAGCTGAGGGACGCAGGTGGCCTTCGGCGGACGGGTGGAGGGGAGCGTGGGTGAGGGAGGGCGTCACGGGAGGAAGCGACATGTGGCAGAACGAGCAGCTTCCGCCTGTGGAGCTGCGGGGAGATGCTGGGGTCAGGGGAGGTCAGGAGGTGCCACCACGGCCGTGCCGTGCCGTGCCCAGCCGGCCGGCTTGTCGGGATGACACGAGGAGAATTTCCGAGGGGCACCTGCCCCGGGCCCTTTATGGAGACGTGGTAGATTCTATCAGCCCTTTCGCAGAGCAACAAAGTATCAAAGAGTCACGCAGGACCGCAAAGGACTCACGCTATACCGAAATGCGGTCACTGAAAATCAAAACCTGTATTCAGGACGCACTCTGCTTCTTCGTGACTTCGTTAGACAGAATGGGATAGCCACCGCTGCGGCGTGGAGGAAGTGGGTGAAGGGCGTGGATCTGAGCGCGGCAGAGACGCGGTGGAATCGGGCGGGTTTTCTCTGCAGTGCGCAGACCATACGCACTGTGCCAGCACGGCGGGCATGTGAGGCCGGCACGCAAAGTTCAGGCATAGAAAAGCCCGTTTCCTGCATGTGTGAGTTTGCATTTGGGAGCACTCACAATCGCTCTAACGGAAGTTCTAAAGGGTTTGTGATGCAGTACATATTAGGCATGGTGAACACGGTACCACGCAGGCTGTTTTAATGCTTGGGTGGGAAAATATATTCCTGTATCCCGTAACCCTGCGGCCCCCAACCCCGGAGCCACGCGTCGGTATGGGTCCGGTCCCTGGCCTGTTGGGGACCGGGCTGCACAGCAGCAGGTGAGTGGCCGGGGCGCGAGTGGGGCCTTATTTGTGTTTATAGCCTCTGCCCGCTGCCCACATCGCGGCACTTCCCTAAGGAAAAGCACGTGTGTGCTCATCGGTGAGTTCCAATTTAATAGTGAGTAAACGTGGCGTTTGTTTTTCCACTCCTTAGATGCTTCACTTAGGATAGTGGTCTCCAGTTCCCTCCAGATTGTTGCAAAAGGCATTAAGTCACCCTTCTCTTTGGCTGAGCAGTATTCCGTGGTGTACATATGCCATGGTTTGTTGATCCGCTCATGGATTGATGGGCATGTGGGTTGATTCCACATCTTTGCAACTGTGAATTGTGCTGCTGTACACATTCAAGTGCAGGTGTCTTTTTGATAAAATGACTTCTTTCCCTTTGGGTAAATACCCAGTAGTGGGATTGCTGGATCAAATGGTAGGTCTACTTTTAGTTCTTTGAGGAATCGCCATACTGTTTTCCGTAGAGGTTGTGCTAATTTGCAGTCCCACCGACAGGGTAAAGCAGACGTCCTCAAACTACAGCCCTTGGGCTACATGCGGCCTGCCTGCAGAGGACATTTATCCGGCCTGCTGGGTGTTTTTGCTGCCGCTGCTGCCTGTCCTGCTTAGCGGCCGACTGGTCCCGGGCCCACAGTGCGCATGTGTGGAATGTGCGCCGTGCTCTCCAACGGCCCTCCACGGTCTGAAGGACCGTGAACTGGCCCTCTGTTTAAAAAGTTTAAAGACCCCTGGCGTAAAGCATTAATGATGACCCAGCAGGAATGGGCTTACAGTCACCAGAATTGGAACAGCACTGGCCACCACTATGCGTTGGGTTCTGGTGGCATATGAAGTCATTCTGTGGTTTGTTGCTAATACGGAAATTGCCAATAACTTGGTTTATTTTAACTTTTCAGGAAAAGTGGTGTGAATATTTCATCCTAAATAATATGAACATTTTCGAATTTGGGAATCTGAATTTAATTTACCTTTCTGACTTAAGTGATGAGGCTTTGTTGAAGAATATTGCTTTTTACTATGAAAAGGAAAATGTACAAGGTACCACTTTAGTATATTATAATCAGTATATCTTTATCCAGAGAAGAATGTTATAAAGAAGTTAGATTTCAAAATAATTTTCATATACCTCCAACATATAATAGCAATTATTTTCCTTTCTTCACATCCTTATTTATGTATGTATATAATTTTTATTTAATTGCAATTAGAGCAAATATTAATTAAAAATAATTTTTTCACTTAATATTATTCCAAAAGTATATTTGGAAAATATTTCCAATAAATTTTAATAATTGAATTTTTCATTTTAATGCATGTGTAATATTTCTTCATAAAATTTACACCAATTAATGTAATCATTTCCTACTGTTAGATATTTAGGAAATTTAAATTTTTTTTCTAAAATATAAGGCCAATTTATAGATCTGTTATATATAATTTGTTTTTCTTCCTTTAATTTTTTTTCTTAGAATAAATTTTCTGATATTTTTTAATAGTCAAAGAAAAATAAAACACATTTTGAGAGAACTGTAACTATGATAATCGAACATTACTAAAGCTGCTTTGACCCCTAGAATTTGGTTCTTTCATGATGTAATCATTGGCATGAATTGGCTACATATAAATGTAATGATCCTCTGCAGATACTCTCATGCCTCAAAAATCAAAGTTTTTATTCCATTTTATTGATTGTAAAGTTATGGGTGGTATACCATTTTATATCACCTTAAAGAACGATTAAATATCCACTACTTGTTAACGTTAGTTAAGGCAGTTAAAAGTTTAATATTTAGTTACCAAGTAGGAAAATAAGACAAACTTTAAAATGCGACATCTCATAGTTGGTACTAGTGACTGTTTTCACTTAGGTCCAGGATGGAATTTACTGAAAATTTCACAAGTTGACAAGTATTTCTTCTGAGTTCCACAAATCTAGACAAAATGTGTACTCCTGTGTCTGTGTGAATGACTGCTAATATCTAGCGTTCTTAATTGTTATGCAGGGCGACATTTGAACTTGGGAAATGTCATCATGAAGGAATACGAACATCTCTGGAGCACTGTGTCAAAGATGGTCGGAGAGTTTGATGTCGGACAGCCATTTCCTCTGAGAACAACAAAACTTAATTTTCTTAGAACGAATCAGTCGCCAATCAAAGGTAACAAGTTCCTAAATTAATCTGAAAGAAAATCATTGTTCCTCTGAAAATATTTGGGAAGCACCAGTAATTCAATGCTGCAAGCATAAATAATGTTCTGGCACTTTGACTTTTAATAAGAAGAATAAATTTTGTTGATTGTTATATTTTCGGAGCGGTATGCTGTGACTATACTTGTGAAGATTTACGTTGTGCTTGTAGTGAATGGTGTTTCCAATTTTACAAAAAGCAGCCATATATATGTGTGTGTGTGTGTGTGTGTGTGACTTCCATTTCCAGCAATATGGCAGTATAGGTCAACAGAAAAGTGTCTCTGTGCAAAACACTTGAAATGCTGGCTAAGGGACACTAAATATCCTTTTTTTATAATTGTAGCTGAACTCAGAGCAATAGACGGGGACTCTGCCTCCCCTGGCAGGGCTCAGGGCCAACAGCAGCAGGGAGCGCCAAGAAGGGAACAGGCAGAGCAATGGCAGTGTACTTAGAGTCATGAGCCAGGCATTAGCTAGCATCTCATTCATTAGCCCGTTATCGAATGTAACCCATATATGATATATAATGTCTATCCTCATATGTGTGTGTATGTGCACGCGCATGTGTGTGCGAAATCGTGAAATCAAGGAAGAACCAAGAGAATACTATAATGGTATCAAACACTTTTATTATCATCTGTATTTTCCCCCTACTTCTTCTTTATTTCATTTTCATTAAAGCGCGTTTGTGTGTGTGCATTTTCTGAGACTTCCTTCTTCAGATTCCTGTCTCGTAACAGGGACTAATAAAAGGAATGAGCATTTGAACGTAAGAAGCATAGGTGTTTTTTGATCTGTTTTCTACCTGTCTATCATCTATGTGTCTATCCATCCATCCTTCTGTCTACCCACACACCCACCTGTACGCCTACATGCCGTCTTCGCACGCTGCTGTGTTCCCATATGTTCTCATGTGGGACATAGCTTTATGGGAAGGGCTGGAATTGACAGAGGAAAATAATGTAAATGATTTTTAATGTGAAGTTTTAGAAAATAACGTGTCATAGTCCTGTACGAAAGTTTCATATTTGACCTCATCTTCATTTTCTGATCACAGACAGCTCCGAGAAAAATATGCCTGATTTGGGTTTTATTCCAATGTCATCTAGTTTGGTGGATAAGTTTGCTGGAGACATTCTGAAAGATTTGCCTTTTCTAAAGAGGTACGGGGCCAAAAGTGTGCCTCTAGAAATACTTGCATGGGATGGATGATTACTTGCTAAAGATTCTTTGAAATGCAGAATGTTGGAGTGCACAACATGTGATATGCATTTGTAACACATGATGAATCTAATATCAAATTTTCAGTGCCCTTTGACCATTACTAGGTAAAAATGTGTATGTTCTTAATCTTAAAGCAAACTATTCCAGCTGCTTGTTTTAAATCAATGAATTCATTAATGAATATTTGCTGGTGTTAATGGAGTTGTTGGCACCATGGGGTGGATCTTGGTTTTTTTTTTAAGCCTCTAGTAAACTACTTTTGGGATTCTACCACCCACACCATATGGCAGAAAGAGCAAGGGGAGCTATGATTCTCAAAAATGTTATTATAAAATAAAATCGGTGCTGTGTTATATTTGGAAGCATGCAATTTAAAATAGCATTTTTTTTTTTTGTCTCACAGCAATCATCCTATTGTTACTTCGTTGGTTAAGCAGAAGGAATTTGACGAGCTTGTGCACTGGCATTCTCACAAGCCCCTCAGCGATGACTACGACAGGTCCAGGTGTCAATTTGAAGGTGAGCCCTGTGACTGGCGAAATAAACCAAGTTCACTCTCTTCCTGTTATAGAGAAAAATTATCATATCGTGAGTGGCAAATCAAATGTTTTGAATAAGACTAGTGTACAAGGTGTTTAGATGTCCATCGGCAAAGGTGACAGCGAAAAGCTCCCCTGGTGTTTGCTCGACGGTCGTGCGGATGTGGCTGTGCGGGTGTTTTAGGAGGAAGTGCACAGGTATGCTGTCTGTCTCCACAAGAGCCGGAAGCTGTTTTAAGGAAAGATGGTTTTGTGGTTTAAGAAATCTGTGTATTCCTGAGCGGCAAATATATTGGGACCGTGGTCTTGCAAGCTGTTTTCACTGTTTTCACGCCGCCCAGTTGACTGCATGTGACAAGCGGCATTGTGTCTGCCGTCCCGCTCAGGAGGCCCGGGAAACCACCAACAGGGGACCCAGGGCGGGTAGGGGAGGGGTCTCGCCTTTGTCTACCCCTGCGCCTACTCCCGCCATTTTTAGAGTTGAATGGCCCGGGAGCGTGGGTAGTGGTAGCCTGTATATGAAATACTTACTAGCCTGCTGATACACGTAGCTACCAAGATCCTGCAAGATGCGAAGGGATAATTTAGATTATAGCCATCAACATCCTTCCAAGAGGCTTGGTTTAATGTGTGTGGATACAGACATAGAAAAGTAACGAGCTGAGTTATTCCATCTGAGTGAGTATTATAGTTATGGGGGTAAAGTAAATCAGACCTTGATCGTTGAGACTTCTATGTCGTGGGATTTTAGATTGTACCGTAGATTTACCGTTAGATTTTACCACAGTGAGAGATTTTCTCCAGCTGCCCAGCTTTGACTCTGAGGCCATGGAACAGAGTAAGGGTTCTCCTCTGTGCAGCTGGGATCTGTCGTTCTTTCCTCGCACCCCGATCTTTGCCTTTTGAAATAGCCCGAGAGAGCGTGTGTTGTCTCCTCTGCCCTTTGCATACGATGCCGGGATTATTCCAGGCAAGAAACAGCCTGATTTAAAATCCCCTCTTTAGCGAAAGTAATCAGGTTATCGCCGTCGTCCCCGCAATAATTTAATTACCGGGCGTGTGGGCGGGATGGTTTGAAGAACTAGCGGGAACGCTACTGAAAAAAATACGATCATCTTACATTTTAAGTTTTTTTTTTTTCTTTTTCAGAAAAATATAGAGACCCTCGTGCTCTCAGATCCTTGCAAAAGTATCATGTTTTTCAGCGATTTTATGGGAATTCGTTGCTAGACCCGGGCTCTTCGAAAGTCATCGTGACTCAGCCTGCTGCGGCAAAGAAGAATTTCAGCCAGCCCAAGAGCAAAACGGCACGCGTGAGCTTCCTCCCATTCTGTCTGCTTTGTAACGTTTCTTTTTCTTAAGGTGACACTCATCCCTTCGGTCGCTTCTTTCCATGCAATGCTGCTGCTTTTCATAGAGGATCACGTATTATTTTACTTACTTGCTAAGAAAGTCTGACGTGCGTATAAAAAGTTATGTATGGCTCTCTGTACGTAACGAAATATGTGTTTATTTCAAGGAGAAATACGTGGCATTAAGTGACTAAAAGTCTGGCTTTGGAAATGTTGAAGTAACATAAAAAATACAGTTGTTCGTTAGTGAATGACAACGGAAATCTTTTTTCGTGTAGGTGGCAAAGATAGAGACGCCATACCTGTGTGTGTGGTTTTTTGGGCTAAATTATAAAGATTGTCTACTTGTTTCCAATGCATTCAAATAATTAATTAATCCACAGTCTTTTCTGGGTGGACGGTTAGAATGACCCATTCCTCTTTCCGTGTGTGCTGGATTCCTGCAACTTTACCTTTCTCTTCTTGGGATGCTTTTTTTCTGCTCTTCTCCCCAGGACTGTATTGGGCTAGAGGGCAGGAGGGAGAAGCTCACCAAAGGTCACACTTATTTCCGGAATAACAATGCCAGTAGCTTACGATGTGAAAATTGTCGGCTGAAATTCCTGATAGTGTCTAAGTACAGAAATTTTTATGTTAAAACTGGACTTACTGATGTCATGACTTTAGGAGAAGTTAGTAGTTTGCTGTATTTTTTTTAAAAAATGGAAAACTCAGGCGGGGCGCGGTGGCCCACGCCTGTAATCCTAGCTCTTGGGAGGCCGAGGCGGGCGGATTGCTCAAGGTCAGGAGTTCAAAACCAGCCTGAGCAAGAGTGAGACCCCGTCTCTACTATAAATAGAAAGAAATTAATTGGCCAACTGATATATATATAAAAAATTAGCTGGGCATGGTGGCACATGCCTGTAGTCCCAGCTACTCGGGAGGCTGAGGCAGAAGGATCGCTGGAGCCCAGGAGTTTGAGGTTGCTGTGAGCTAGGCTGACGCCACGGCACTCACTCTAGCCTGGACAACAAAGCGAGACTCTGTCAAAAAAAAAAAAAATGGAAAACTCCTTAGGCTTTATTTAGCGTATTTCTCTGGGCCTCAAAGCCGGGCGGTGGGGAAAGGTGTTTTCTTCACTAGCAGTTTCTTCCGAGATCAAAGGTTTTTACTGTGTCTGAGAGAGAGAGAACCAACTTAACAAAACCAGACGCAAACACAGGCGTTTCTCATATCTGCCCTAGCAAAGCGAAGTGAGCTTGGTGACGTTATCGGAAGTGAAGCATATAAAAGGAAACCTGTGAAAAAAGAAACCAGAAACATATTTCCACTCTCACTTCTGTATACTCACCTCTGGGAACATTCTGGCAGGTCAGGGAAGCGTGCCGGCTCTTTGCCAGGCGCCCAGCGGACTAACCAGCGAGGGGACGTTCCAGAACAGTGCGGGGACAGGCACGAGTCCGTGAGTTCGAGGACTTTCCGAAAAAGCTCATTTATTTTTTTTTTTTACTCCAGATAACATCGAAAAGCAATCACAAGTTACTCTAAAATAGCGTCAGCCCTTCTGTGAGCCCTTGTCTCTTGAACTGTTTCAAAAATTTAAGCAGAAATGGGGGTGGCTCTGTCTCTTGCTTTGACAGGAAAAAAGACCCCCGCCTTCCCCCTGCCAAGCCCAACTATATGGTCATCGTTTCTCTTCACACGGCGACAACCTCCTTTTCCTTCTGATGGCCAATCTCGCTGCCAGTGAGACCACGCAATTAAGCATGTACTTTTTCATTTATGAGTGCCAAAAGGCTGCTGCTGCTGCTTCTCCCCTTTTTCTTTTCTTTTTTTTTTTTTTTTGAGAGATGTTAAAAAATAGCAACCTTGCAAAAATTCTCATCACATAGTACAAAGGCATAAAGACTGAAAAAAAAAATCCCGTTCTGTTTTTTTCCCTTTTCCATTATTAGAAAGGAAATAATCTCAAGGGAACTGAGCACCGCCGGCACCGTATAAACACACGTGCCCAGCAGCAGTGTGCTACATCTGCGTGTTCGGGATCACGTGAGCCTTGTGCGTGACAGAGGGCCAAAGGTCACCTTGTCCCAGTGAGACGGAGCCATATCGCATTGCCCCTACACAGTATTCTTGGGAGTTTCAACACTGGGAAAGCTCAAATATTGCTGATTAGAATTAAATATTTACAGAGTGGTGACAGATAAAATGGACTTCTTTATAGGCAGGCTTTTTTTTTACTTCAGAATATCATGGGGGTGCAACTATTTTGGCGGCATATGATGCCTTTGTCTCGCCTAAGGCCAGGGCTACAGGTGTACCCTTCCCCCATACAGTGCTCCGCGTCCGTTGGTTGTGAGTTTACCCAACCACCCTACCCCCGCCGACTGGCGCCCAATGAGTATTACTGTCATGTGAGCACCGCAGTGTTGATCAGTTAGGACCAATTTGCTGGTGAGTCCATGTGGTGCTTGTTTTTCCATTCTTACGATACTTCACTTAGTAGAATGGGCTCCAGCTCCATCCAGGACAACACAAGAGGTGCTAGGACACCATTGTTTCTTTGTGGCAGAGTAGAACTCTATGGTACACATACACCACATTTTATTAATGCACTCACGTATTGATGGGCACTTGGGTTGTTTCCACACCTTTGCCATTGTGCATGGTGCTGCTATGAACATTCTAGCGCAGATGTCTTTTTTTTTGTTGAATGTCTTTTGTTCTTTTGGGTAGATGTCCAGTAATGGGATTGCTGATCAACTGGTATTTCTACCTGTAGCTCTTTGAGCGATCTCTGTACTGCTTTCCACAGGGGCTGCACTACAAACTTTTTTCCATGTCAGTTCACGACTAACCAGAGGAGCGGCTACTGTGTGGGAATTCGATAGCTAACGGAGTTCTCTCCTTTATCCTTGCAGATGGGGGAGGCAGGTTGGTAGAGGCACAGTAAAAGTGGGTCCGCGTTGTGTTTAAGTCGATCGGCAATGCTCACCTGGATTCAGCAGGGCAGCTGACACGTGCCGTTCCTTCTACCCACTCCCTTCTCCTTCCTCTTTCATTCCTCAAGCAGCACGGACTCGCTGCTCCGTGCCTGGGACACACATACGGCAATGGCACGCTCCCGTCTCGGGGCTCTCAGTCCAGGGAGGAGGAGTGGCGTGTCAATGATGAGCACGGCACCTGCCGATGACAGACAGTTGCCGGGCGACAGGGGAACACGTGACTCCAACCTGAGAGTCAGGGGAGGTTCAGGGGAGGACAAGGAGGGAGGGCAGGGGGATGACTTGGGAGGAGTGGAAGATAAAAGGAGGTTCCAGGGAGAGCAGAATGGAGACATGAAAGAGCAGTGGCCTCATGTCTGTCTGATTTTACGCATTTACTCTTTTGCGTACAGTCTGCACCACTCAGAAACCTAGAAAACAATCTGCAGGGCCTTTATACTCACTGAATTAAATTGTCAGATGTTGTAAATTAACAGAGGCTTAATTGTTTTTAAAAAAGCGGACATGTTTCATGTGTACTCCAGAATGGGATGATGGTCAACACCATCCATGCACACTTAGGAATATTGTCTCACCCAGGAGAGTCCCCTTGGAGTGTTTCCAGCCAGTTGCAAGGTGCTTCTTTCCTTCCGGGCAGGAGACCAAGGCCGACATCATCGCCAGAGAGAATAAGAAGAGGCTGCTCGCCAGGGAAGAGCAAAAGGAAGAGCAAAAATGGAACGCGCTGTCGCCGTCCATTGAGGAGGAGATGAAAGAGAATTTAAACTCCGGCATAAAGAGCCTGGAAGAGTTTCTGAAATCATGCAAAAGCAGCTCCGTGAAGTGCCAGGTGGAGAGGGTGGGGCTGAGCGCCTGCCTGAGAGCCTGGAGAGAGCACTGCCGGGGCGAAGGTGTGTGCGGCCCTCTGTCTGGGGGACGTGGGGAGCGAATGCGATGTCACCATGACAGTTGTCACTTATCAACTGAAAATGTGTGTTCGAGGATTTGGGGTTTTTTTGAGACAGAGTCTCACTCTGTCGTCCAGGCTAGAGCGAGTGCCGTGGCGTCAGCCTAGCTCACAGCAACCTCCAACTCCTGGGCTCAGGCGATCCTCCTGCCTCAGCCTCCCGAGTAGCTGGGACTACAGGCATGCGCCACCATGCCCGGCTAATTTTTTCAGTATATATATTTTTTAGCTGGTCAATTAATTTCTTTCTATTTATAGTAGAGACGGGGTCTCGCTCTTGCTCAGGCTGGTTTCTAACTCCTGACCTTGAACAATCAACCCGCCTCGGCCTCCCAGAGTGCTAGGAATACAGGCGTGAGCCACCGCGCCCGGCCTGTGTTAGAGGATTTACATGCATTACCGTGTTTTATGTGTCACTCCCGCTACGGCAGTCCCGCCTCGTCCATACTAGGGCGGCCAGGCCCCCCCGGGCGGGATGGTGCCAGGGTGGTACATGAGGCAGCTCAGAACGGGGCAGAACTTACAACGTATGGATTATTTATTTCTGGGATTGCCTTTTTAATACTTTCAGACCACAGTTGACCTCAGGGAACTGAACTGGGGGCAAGTGGAAGCACAGTTAAGGGGAGGCTACCGTATGTTATCGGTGAGCGCTGGCGTCTCGGAGAGCGTCAGGGCGGCACATGCACGGCACATGCGTGTGCACCGTCAAGTACATGTTTGAAAGTGACTGCTTGCAAACTTGCAGGTGTGGCTAAGGGGCAAACCACAAAAGCGGCGAGGCACCCGGAAGAATCTGTCGTCCACCCTGGGGATCAAAGAGTAAACGCTTCCTTTCCGAGTAGAACGATGCATGCCTGCCTGGCACGCTGAGTCTTTGCAGGGCTGCTGTGGGTCCCAGGCGCCTGCTTTGCCATGTCCGCACCACGTAGTAGAAAGAAAGGAGGAACTAGAAACAGGAAGATGAGGGCAGAAAGAGGAAAGAGGGCTGCCTGTAGACATGAGAATTGACAGCAGGTGACACGATCGTGTTCCCTAGTAGATACCCCCAGACTGACGACTCTGCTGAGCAAACCTAGTCGATCTGTCAGCCCTGGGCATCTGCACACTGAACCCGCGTCACGCGACTGCGAGTTCTCCCTCCGCCTCCACTTCCCTGCTGCTGCCTCTGCTCCGCCCTGCGCAGCCGGCCCCTCGCCGGCGTCCGGCCCTGTGAGAGGCGTGAGTCAGTCTGGCCCGTTTTCCTCCCGCCCAAGGTGTTGGATCGGGATGCACAGTTGGCTGCTGCTAAGAGAGCTCAGAATCAAGAGCGGCTTAAGGAATGCAGAAGTTCACTTCACTCACTGACGGGCAGCTCCCACGCGGCAGCCCCAGGGCCGCCCGCGGCCACGCTGCTCCGTCTGCAGGTCTGTCACTCTCAGCACGTGGCTTCCGCTTCTCCAGTCACCCACGTTTCTAGATGACGACATCTTGGCAGATCCTAGGAGAAGGGGAAAAGGCAAAACCGCCTCGTTCTCTCCTCTGAGGAGCTCTCCCAGCCCTCGAGAACTTCTGCTTACATGCCGTTGGTCAGGACTTAGTCACGGGGCCACGTCCGGCCACAAGGGTGCCAGCAAACGTAGATTTTCACCTGAGTATCTTGCAGCTCCCAGTAATACGGAGACGTAAATAAGAAATTTGGGGGGATACCCAATAGGTAGGAAACTAGTGGTATTTGCACAGATATCTTCATCCTTGTTTTCATCTACTGACATTCAACCTGCCCCCCAAATCCATTCCGTGAAATTTCTGTCCATACAGCCTTCCTCAGGTGCCCACCTCACCTGGCACCTGTTGTTGCCGCCGCTCAGCTGGGGCTGGCCCGATGTTACACGTTGTCTGTCTGGGTGGACTGGCAGCCCCAGGAGAGAGTGAGCTCTGCATGACATTTCTCTGTAGCCTCTTACAGCATTCAGTAGGTGTTTAGTAATATTTGTCAAATAGATACAATAGAGGCTGATTAGAAGGAAGATGGGGTGGAAACAGCCCTGGTGTGGTAAGTGAGAAAAGAAGAGCAGAGGGGAAGAGTAGCACATTAACTGCCCTGTGAGTTGTCTTGAACTCACCCTAGTTTTGAGCCCGGGGCCTCGCGAAGCATATGCAACTCACGCGCCTCTGCCCCTTGGGAGCCGTGAGGACCGTTTTTCAAGTTGCATAGAACTCACGCGTAGACAACAATAACAAATAACACATTTTCCATTAAATTAGAAGGGATTGCTTTGCTTTAGAAGTTTTTATTCTATTTTCGTAATAAAATGCCGTGGCAAAAAGCACAAGGAAGTCGGAAGTGGCAGCTGGAGTGGGTGGATTGGACGCAGGCCTCAGCGATTACCCCAAATACTTATCTGTGGTCAGCAGTGGGACCCAACACATGCTGCGAAATTTCTAACCAGATATTTGAAGTCATACAGATGTTTTTCTTTGAACATAGTAGAAGGGATATGAAAGTAATAGGTGGAGAAAAGATTTCTTATTTTCCATAAGTTTTTACAAACTGGAGCTTTAATACTCTTACTTCTATTGTGAACAACAAGGTTTTTCCTCTTTTCCCAATACTGGCTTAGCTACTTCTCAGTTATCTATGGATATGACAAAGTGTGGCGAGTTGAACTTTAATTTTATTTTGCTTAGCTATTTCTATTCCAAAACCTCCATTAATACCAAGTAAGATAGTAAATTTAATTAAGATTGATAGACTAGATGATTCATCTTGGATAATCAACATTTTTTATTTTTGATGGGCTTTATAACAATTTTGTTGTTTATTCTTTACCAAGGTAAAATCAAGAAAGATTTAAGTATAGCTGTTCAAATGATGAAAAGGATCCACTCATTGTTGGAAAAATACCCGGAACTTTTGCAAGAAGCGGATCGGCAGCTTGTAGCCAAATGCCTTAAGTACTTAGGGTTTGATGAGTTGGCAAATTCTTTATATCCAACCCAGGTAATATTATCAGGTTATCTCTATTTTAATAGAGTAATTATTAGCTATACATAAAGTGTCTTGCAAATACACTCATCTCTTCTAATTTTTCTCTTTTTTCTACTGAAAATATTATCATTTTTGGTAATCCAACTGCCCAATCTTAAAGTAATCTCAGATTAGAAAATTTGTAAAAATGCTTGTCTGGACAAACAGATGAAATGCAGATAATCTCTGCACACCCTTAAAACTAACCCTGTGCTTAATTCTAGCAAAACTCATCTAAACTATAGTGTCAATCGCCTTTGAACATATCAGCTTATAGCTACAAATATCATGATGTATGTCTGAAAATTTTAACATCTACTAGTTTATTCATAGTTAAGACGATGATTTAAAGCCTTCCCAAAATTTAAAAGGTGGTATAATGCTTTTCACATAGAAGGTGCCCAGTAATAACTATTTTAATTATTTAGATGATGTTATATATACTTCAAAATAACTTTCAAAATGGACTTTTAAAATAATATAGGACACAGAAAATGACAGAAAGGAGAAGAGAAAGAGTAAATATTCAGTTGGCATGGGGCCAGCTCGGTTCCAGCTGCAGTACATGGGCCACTATTTGTTCCGAGATGAGAGAAAAGACCCAGACCCCAGGGTCCAGGACTTCATTCCTGACACGTGGCAGGTAATGACATGGATGAAGCAAAAATGATTGTATTTTATTATTCAATGCGATCCCAGGAGTTTCTCATTATTGTGGCTGTACATTTTATATGTGGCATGAACTTCCTAATAGTGAGTCATGATATTTAAACATGCATTGTTATTGAAAATGTCAAAGGTAGACTATTTTTTCCCCCATTTAAAGAAGGTGAAATTTTCATTTGCCATGTCCCTGGAGGTACTCTGATGGACTCATAGATGTAATTTTAAAGTTCCTTGTCCTCCAGCTGTATCATTGCAGAGAAGCCTCAACAGAATTGCACATGAAAACATGCAAATGCGCACAGAGAAATTCAGGTAGTTCAAACCGTAGAGATGAGACAATTGTCTAGATGTTTATGCCCTGCACCTGTCGACATAATGGCCATTCTTCTGCAAATGCATGAAGCACTAATATTGGTGGATATAACATTTGGAAGAAATGCATACATTTCTGCACGCATCGAACCATATAGAATTGCTGATGAGTTGAACATCTCACCTACAGAAGTGCAATTGCACAGTTTCAATCTAACGGACTGCCCCTGTCAGAGTCTGGCTTGGCTTTTCTGCTGTGGGCCGTGGGGTGCCTTAGACATTCGTGCCGACTTTCCCGGAGGAGGAGGACCCACTCCTCGCTCCAGGGCGAGATGTGAGGATGTCAGATGCCCTGCGGCAATCCCCCCACGCGCACTGTGACTCTGCCCACCGCCTCTCCACCCTGACGTGCGGTCGGGGCGGACCTGGCTTGGGGAGGGCCTGCAGAGAGGGTGAGGTTTTGAGGTGTTTTCCATCTTCTGTCCACCATATGGACTTATCATTCTTTGACTAGTGACCGTTTTGTTAAATAAAAGCTTAGGCAAAGGGATGAAGCTCCCACACACCCTCCAAGGTAGGTGTTTGGCATTCTTCTACTTAGAAAGTAGCAGATAAGTAGTAACATTAAGAATCTTTGGGCCAGGCGCGGTGGCCTCACGCCTGTAATCCTAGCACTCTGGGAGGCCGAGGCAGGAGGATCGCTCAAGGCCAGGAGTTCGAAACCAGCCTGAGCAGGAGCGAGATCCCGTCTCTGCTGAAAACACAAAGAAATTAATTGGCCAACTAAAAAAAATCATATAGAAAACATTAGCCAGGCATGGTGGCAGATGCCTGTAGTACCAGCTACTCAGGAGGCTGAGGCAGGAGGATTGCTTGAGCCCAGGAGACTGAGAGGTTGCTGTGAGCTAGGCTGACGCCACGGCACTCCAGCCTTGGCAACAGAGTGAGATTCTTTCTAAAAAAAATAAATATATAAAAAGGAATCTTTGGCATTTCTCCTTCTCAGCCATTTTTTTCTTTTTTACCATCACCAAAGCACGCATTGGCCACTTCTCACAACTTACTTTCCCAAAGGCATTCTGCATTTACTGGATAGCAAACGGCTATAAACAAGCCTTCCCAATAATAGGCTGTTTTATTCACTCTCCATTTTTCACACCTTCCAGAAGCTCAAAAGCACAGACGTGATGTATTCTGAGAAAACGACGTGGGTGCTTCAGACTTTCCTGCAGCTCTGTCTGTGGGTTTGCGGGCCCCGATCGCCCCCTCTGAGGCCCGGGAGAACCACCGAGGCAGGTGCACCAGCCTGCCGCCTCTGTCTCCGTGCCGTGCTGTCCCCACCACTGACCGGTGATGCTCTGTCCCCCGCAGCGAGAGCTCCTGGACGTCGTGGACAACCACGAGTCAGCCGTGATCGTGGCGCCCACGTCCTCGGGCAAGACCTACGCGTCCTACTACTGCATGGAGAAGGTGCTGAGGGAGAGCGACGACGGCGTGGTCGTCTATGTCTCGCCCACAAAGGTGACGCTCTCTCCCCTTCCCGTCCTCCCCGCTGGGACAGCGCACGTGGCCACGTGGCGCCGGGTCTCCCCGGAAACGGGACGGGGTCTCATGTTTATTTTTCCTGAAGAAGACGCCCGGGGCTTATTCTCAGGGGATGTGTTATTTTTCTTAAGCATGGTACAACCATCTACATTTATTCAAATAAGAGTGAAGTCGTCTTCTTCTGGAACATCATCACAACTCTCCAAACCCCGAATTCCAACCTGAATGTCTTGCGACTCTTGTTTCCTTTAGAACCACTGGCCCCGATCTCTCCTGTGGAGCACTAGAGCTCTCACGGGGCGGATGAGAAGGGCTGCTCGTGTTCTTTCCCGCTCCGCGACGACACGCACGGGTCGTGCAGATGCGCTGCATAGCCACGCCCGTCACTAGGGCTGATTTTCGGGGTGGGGCTTCTATTGCACACATGCTCAGACATCCTGCTGGGGCGTATTGTATGGGTGGGTCTTATTTGCGGGGAAACACGGCACATCTAGCTCACTTTATTTTTTATGCAGTTTCAAAGGCTAAAATAACACGTGTGCATATTTCCAAACCTCAGATGTTTGGGGGACGCCACCAAATATAGGAGACGTCAATCTCCCCGGCCGTCCCTCCCTCCAGCTTCCTTCTACTGTGGACTCACAGTCCTCTCGAGGGCTGGGTCATCAGGGGTGCAGCTATTTTTCCTGCAGCGTGGGCAACGTTTCCTGTTTTTCCCTCCGATGAAGACACTGTGTTTCCCATTTTACTTTGCGCTGAGGTCTGTCGGTGAGGTTCCCGTGCGGAGTCCCGCCGCTCCGGGACAGCCTTCCGGAGCGGGTGGGGCAGGTGGCCGGCAGGAGGGCGCTGGCTGGCGTTCTTCCCTCAGAGCAGAACTCGCTCCTCTGTATTTCCCGTTGTCCCCTGAGAGCTCGCCTGTCCCCGCTCTGTTGCGTGACTAACGGGTCCCTTTCCCCGTCCACCAGGCCCTTGTCAACCAGGTGGCGGCGACTGTCCAAAACCGTTTCACCAAAACCCTGCCGAGCGGCATGGCTCTGTGCGGCGTCTTCACGAGGGAGTACCGGCACGAGGCTCTGAACTGCCAGGTACCGACCCAGTGCGCCGATCGTCCGCCCGCTGCCGGGCCGTGTGCGCGCACGTCCCTGGCTCTGCGCCGCAAAGTCAGCCTCCTCCCAGACCCTTCCTCCTGCCGCCACGCTCCAAAGAGTGGGAACGAGAGCGCCCCTTGCTCGGGGGGCGCTCCCATTTCGATTTCTGGTTTCGGCTGCAGTCCACTGCGTCGTCGTCTTGGCGCATACGTGGCTTCATTCAGAAGGATCTGAGGAACGCTAGACGTTACAAAAAATTAGCACATAATAACTTCTAATCAGGATTACTTTTTCTCAATAAGTATCTGCTAGAGATACTCATGATTTGAAAAATGTTGTATCGTGGATGGTTTAACTGGCGCTAACTAGATCAGAGACGGTTTTCCTTCGTGCTGAGCTCGCAGGTCAACCGTGAAGACTGAAGCAAAAGGGGACAGGTGATCGTAGCACGTCCTGAGATGAGCCACCCAGGTGGCCTTTCACTTGCTGCCCAGAGGCAGGGAGTGTGATTAAGACAGATGCCAGCCAGGCTGAGGAGGGCGGATCGCTCAAGGTCGGGAGTTCGAAACCAGCCTGAGCAAGAGCGAGACTCCATTTCTACTAAAAATAGATAGAAATTAATTGGCCAACTAAAAATATATGCAGAAAAAATTAGCTGGCATGGTGGCGCATGCCTGTAGTCCTAGCTACTCGGGAGGCTGAGGCAGGAGGATCACTTGAGCCCAGGAGTGTGAGGTTGCTGTGAGCTAGGCTGACGCCACGGCACTCTAGCCCGGGCGACAGAGTGAGACTCTATCTCAAATAACAACAAAAAAGGACAGATGCCCTCCGTCAGCCCCCGAGGCACGTGTTCTGTGACGGAGCTAGGACGGGGAGGCGCGACGGGGAGGCGCCCGCGGGGGTGTCCTCACTGCGCAGCTCCAGGCAGTGGCCTGAGGCTCAGCCAGCCAGGCCGGCCCTGCAGGGTGGCTTCTCCTCCGCCCAGCCCCGCCTCACCCCTGCCCTTAGTGATCGTCGACTCTTAATTAACATCTTTCAACCCAAACTCCACGTCAGGATCGTGTTCGGAAGAACCAAACTGGCGTGACAGTGAAGAATTTCCGTTTCTAAACTCCAAATGCTCGCACATAAGGGTTTCGGCCTCGAACCTCGTGCCGCACCCCGTCTGGTCCGCAGACGTGGCGGCTCCCTGTGGTTCAAGCTGGCGCACCCCAATGCCTGTGAGACTCGCTCTCAGAGGCGCCGTCTGGCGCTCGTTGCGGGAAGGCACGTCCCGGCCTCGCACGGCGGTCTCGCGCCCTCTCCAGGTATGAAGGGCGTGCCCGCGGCGCAGTGCCGGCTCACGCCGTGTGTTCTCACCGCCAGGTGCTGGTCACGGTGCCCGCCTGCTTGCAGATCCTGCTGCTCGCCCCTCATCAGCAGCGCTGGGCGAAGAGGATCAGATACGTCATATTTGACGAGGTGAGCCTGGCGGGCGGCGCTCGGAATGGGGGCCCTGGCTCCGAACGGCCTCCCCGGGGAAGCGCGGTCCGACTTTTGGCTGCCTTTCCCTGCCCGGCTCAGTGGGCGAGCCGGCGTGCCCTGCGCAGCAATGGGCGGGAGGGGACGCTTTCGTTGACGACTGCTCGACTGCTGTTTCCAGGGCCGGGGTCGGGGGCGGGTTCCAGAATGCAACCGCCACGTCGTAAGTGTCCCCGGACAGAAATTTCCAAATCCCATCTTGGACCCCTAAAGCAAACAATTTTGGGCTCTGACGGCAAGAACAATGGCGCGAGTTATTGTATCGGTCCTGGTCCCAACAGAAAACAAATGCCGCACCTGAAATCCTGTCACGCAAGCAGGGTGTTTCTCAGAGGTGTGTGCGAGGGCCTCCGTGAGGGCCCCAGCAGGCTCCAGGGTCCGTGCAGCCCTGCAGAGCTGGCAGCTCACGCCTGGGCCTCAAGGGACAGGCGAGGTGGCTTCTGCTGAAGCCCAGAAGGATATTCCAACTGAGCCGGCGGTGAGGAGCAGTGGGAGAGCAGAGCTGGCGTAGAGTGACCCACGGGGGGGTTGACCTCAGCCTCAGCCTCCCTCTCCTCCCTCTGACCTCCTGCCCAGGTTCTTTGTGGCCATATCCAGTGGAAACAGAGCGTGGGAGCCCTGTGGAGGTGGTCCCTGCGAGCCAGGTCCCCTGGGCAGGAAGAAACACACGTGGAAGATACTTAGTCAAGTTACATAGCCGTATAATTAAGAATATTTGGCCAGGCGGTGGCGCAGTGGCTCACGCCTGTAATCCTAGCACTCTGGGAGGCCGAGGCGGGTGGATTGTTTGAGGTCAGGAGTTTGAGACCAGCCTGAGCAAGAGCGAGACCCCGTCTCTACTATAAATAGAAATTAATTGGCCAACTAATATGTATAGAAAAAATCAGCCGAGCATGGTGGCGCATGCCTGTAGTCCCAGCTACTCGGGAGGCTGAGGCAGGAGGATCGCTTGAGCCCAGGAGTTTGAGGTTGCTGTGAGCTAGGCTGACGCCACGGCACTCTGGCTGGCCCGGGCAACAAGAGTGAGACTGTCTCCAAAAAAAAAAAAAAAAAAAAAAAGTTTATTCAAAGATATTTAAAACATTTCAAAAATACATCTTCTTTATCTTCTTCTGCTCCAAGGAATTTTCAATTTAAAGGAGAAAAAGATAACAAGCCTGGATTTAACTTACCTTTTCTTGGTGTAAACCTGGGGCCACCCAACAGGCTGTGCTTTCGATATGCCCGATGCCGATTCGTTGTACTTATTTCTGGTTGATCGGTATCTGTTGCACCACGAGGGCTTTGAATATTCCTGTTTCAAAAGAATCTGACGACTTTGTCTATGCCATCTAGAACCTTGACTGATAACCCAGTCTCAGAACTCTGAAGGATTACAACATTGGGTATTTCCATTTTTCCAATTTTGTATCAGGGTAAAACTGAAACGTTTTGAAGGCTGATGACTAGTCTGGCAGGAAGGGGGGAAAGTGCTATCTAGTTAGTGCAAAGCGTAAGGTTACTATTTGGCAGAGTGGTATTTTATCTGACCAGGATGAGCTTCAATGAGCAGTGGAAATATATACATTTCCATCCATATATATATATGCCAATATGTATTTCCATATATATTTGAATATGTATATTTCTCTATATATTCTAATATATATATTTCTCCCTATGTATTCATATGTGTGTGTGTGTGTATATATATATATATATATATATATATATATAAAATCTGGCTCCGGCAATGAGTTTTTTTTTTCCAGTTGATTGCCAAGTGTCATAGTTTAACCTATTTAACGAAGAGCACACTTGAGAATCTGCCCTGAATTTTGTTCCTTCTGCTTTATCTGGGCAAAAGTCATTCATTCATTCATTCATTCAGCAAATATTTAAGTGGTGCTTCCTCAGCGTCAAGCACGTGTCAGTCCCGGGACTACCCGGGGCTAGGGTTGCAGATTCATCAGGAGAGAGGAGTTAAACCAGCAGACACACACACACACACACACACACACACACACACACACACACACACACGGCCCCGCCAGCCCCCTGTGGGGGGACAGGGCAGGCTGTCCCCACAGCAACGAGGGCAGGCTGTCCCCGCGGCAACGACGGCAGGGTGGCGGCAGGAGGAGGATAACTCTGGGATGGGCGGTCAGAAAAGCCTTTCTTACGGGTGGCACTAAGCCGAGCAGAAGGCGGCCAGAGCGTTTCGGGCGGGGAGAAGAGCACGTGTGAGGCTGGCGGTGGGAAGGGCGTGCTCCGGGAACCGGGAGAGCGTCCTCGGTCCGCAGCGCGGTGAAGCGGAGGGAGAGGGGCGGGTGCTGGGCCAGAGGGGCAGCCGGGTGGCGCGGCGGCGGGAGTTACACACCCTGTCAGGGAGTCTGTATTTCGTGTCACGTGCAATGGGAAGATATTGAAGAAACTCATTTGACCTGATCTAACTTATCTTTTTAGCGTAGCATTTTGGCTACAATGTGAGGAATTTAGGGAAGCGGAGGGGCAGCTAGGATAGCGGTGGGGAGGACACGGTAGTCTCGCAGCTGAGACGCGGCGTGGCCGTGGACGTGGAGGGAAAGGCATCGCTTTGAAAGAAATGTTTAAAGTAGAAAGGGATTACTGTGGATTGGTTATGGGGATCAAAGAAAATTCAGGTGTCAAGACTCTCTTTTGTTGGATTTCCCAATATTTACACTTGGCACGGGCCGGGCGCGGTGGCTCTCGCCTGTAATCCTAGCTCTCTGGGAGGCCAAGGCGGGAGGATCCCTCAAGGCCAGGAGTTTGAGACCAGCCTGAGCAACGGCGAGACCCCGTCTCTACTAAAAAATAGAAAGAAATTAATTGGCCAACTAAAAAACAAACAGAAAAAATGAGCAGGGCATGGTGGCGCATGCCTGTGGTCCCAGCTACTTGAGAGGCTGAGGCAGGAGGATCGCCTGAGCCCAGGAGTTGGAGGTTGCTGTGAGCTAGGCTGACGCCACGGCACTCCAGCGTTGGCAACAGAGTGAGACCCTGTCTCAAATAAATAAAAAATAAAAAAATAAACTTGGCATGGTTGCTTGAAGGGAATGGGAAAGTGTTTATGGCAATGTCGAGATTCCATGTCTTATTTTCATACTCTATTTTTTAATCCACTTCTCAATTGAGAATTCTTTTTTCTTTAACAGGTTCATTGTCTTGGTGGAGAAATCGGAGCAGAAATCTGGGAGCATCTCCTCGTCATGATCCGATGTCCTTTTTTGGCTCTTTCGGCTACGATCAGCAACCCCGAGCACCTCACTGAGTAGGCGCTGGCTTCCACCATGCACAAATGTCTGTCTTGAACATCTCAGTCTCATGCTTTCTGTGTGGGCCCTGAAAAGCTCCCTAACTTTCTGGGGAATTTAATAACATATCTCTGGATCGTCAAGAACCTGTGTCTCTCTCACACACAGTGAGAGAGAGTGGCCAGTGCTGGCCAGTGCTGAGCAAAGCCACCCCCTAGAAAGGACAACTGAGGACTCCTCCAGCCAGATCTCTCCCTCATAGCTCCAAATATAGCTCATCAGGAATGGTAGATTTATGTTCCTTTTCTTCCTCCTTCACTGAGAAATAAAAAACACAAAATGATATAATCACACGCTCCGTCACGGACCCTGAGCTCCATGGTCCCACTTTGCACAGATATTTAGGAGGATAGAAAATCCTTATTAGTTGAAGGGTTTTTGTCACTGGGCTTGGATTTTGCATGCTAATAGCAATTACAGCAAATAATACGGCAAAAACCATATTCTGTGTGCCGGGTACTGTTCTAAGTGCTTTGCATGCATTAATTTATTTTCAATGGCCAGCAACCCTTATGATTCACTGTTATTTCTGTTAGTGCCATTCAATAGCAGTCCTCCCAATACTACTACTGTGAGTTCATTTTGAAACGTGGACGGTCAGGCACGGAAAGACGAAGTTACTCAGCCAAGGGCCGCAGGGAGGTCGGGATTCAATGGCAGGCAGCCGGCTTGAGAGCCTGTCCCCTTACGTACCGTGCGACTTTTAAGGCACATGAAATTTTCTTTACTTGAAGTACTTAACTTCCCAGGAAGTGGGTCCACGTTCTGTCTAAATAACATGAAGATTTGTTTTTTAAGGTGGCTGCAATCAGTGAAACGGTACTGGAGAGAAGAAGACAGGACCATGGAAAGGGACGCCGCCTCCAGAGGCCACGGGGGCCGCCACGCCAGCTTCCCCGAAGGCCACCTGCCGGCAAAGCAGTCCTACAGAGTGAGACTCGGTACGTCGTGCGCGGCCGTGCTCGTTTGCCTCTGACTCCAGAGCGATTCCAGTCGGCGCGTTTCCCTTGACCCAGAGACCCTTGCTCTTCCCGCCAGTGCTCTACGGGGAGAGGTACAACGACCTGGAGAAGCACGTGTGCTCGGTCACGGACGGCCACATCCGCTTCCACCACTTCCACCCGTGTGCCGCGCTGACCACGGAACACGTAAGTGACGCTCTAGCCACGTGCGCTCCGAGGAACGCCAGCCGAGTCTGTAACGCATAATGGACCAGCTGCCCCAGCTGGCGCCTGTCAGAATCAACACGGCGGGGCAGATAGTTTGCAGCTGACGTATTGGCCTCCATCTGAAGAATAACAAGAGCGTTCTTCGCAGTTTTCATTGGTTCCTCCATGGTGTCTGAATCCACAAAGCTTAAAAAAAAACCACTATAAATTTTAGCCAGGATTTCAAATTTTATTTGTCCTTGGATATCATCTTTGCCCATTTTTACTCTTCTGGGCACCCACGTCTGCCATCCGCCTCTCTGATGCCAACCAGTCTCTCGGGGCAGCCGCCGCTTCGTGTGCACAGCCACGGCTCCCGTGACAATCCGTGGCAGGCTCTGCTCCCTACCACGGCAGCCACGGCAGCTGCCTTCTGGGGGTGAACCTGTCATTACGTGGCGGCCTCTGCAGGATTTCCGCCGGGGCATCGGGGTGACACGGGGGAGAGATTTCTTGGTTGACCTTGCACGGTTCTCTTCCTCTCCCATCCTGGTGCCACGAATGGCCACGCCAGCTCCCGGTGGCTCTCACAGTGATGATCGGTCAAGAGTCTGTCCTCCTCCCCAAACCTGAGAAGTTGAATGTATTCTAAATCCTGTTGTCATGTCAAACAGGGCAGGACATCCACCATAAGAGTGTTGTGATGGCTAAAAGAGATAAAAATATGTAAAATTTTAGAACACAAAGTAAATATAATTTGAGAAATATAATTACACATAATGCTCATCTTCTCTTAAAAAAACATAACTCTAATCTTTCCAAGTCTCCACTGGCTTTCCTGTGGAAAGAGCTACACGCATAGCTCCTTAGGCTGGCAGCCAGGGCCTCTGTGACCTGTCCCTTCCGTTCAGCCACTGGGTGTCCCACCCGGAAGCCCTCGGAGGGCTTCCGTGACTCCGTTAGCTGGAGGTGATCTGCCTCCCTCCAGGGCACCTCGCCTGCGCTGCTAACGTCACGCCAGTCACCACCCGTTTGCTACTTACGTCTCTTACATGCGTGTCGTCTTTATCCTACTAGAATAACTCCCCGAAAGCAAATTTTGAGTCCTTATGGTCCCTAACAAACCGCTGTGTATGTAGGAGGTACTTACAGTGTTTCCCTGAAAATAAGACAGGGTCTTATATTTATTTTTCCTCAAGAAGACACCCCAGGGCTTATTTTCAGGGCATGTGTTATTTTTTTTTAAGGACGGTACAACCATCTACATTGATTCAAATAGAGTGAAGTCGTCTTCTGGAACATCATCGTAACTCTCCAAACCCTGAATTCCATCCCGAAATTCTTGTGACTCCATTTCCTTTAGCACCACCGGCCCCAATCTCTCCTGTCGAGCACTAGAGCTCTCACGGGGCGGATGAGAAGGGCTGCTCGTCTTCTTTCCCGCTCCTCGACGACATGCATGGGTCGTGCAGATGCACTGCGTAGCCACGCCTGTCGCTAGGTCTTATTTTTCAGGATAGGGCTTATATTTGCACACATGCTTAAAGATCCTGCTGGGGCTTATTTTATGGGTAGGTCTTATTTTCGGGGAAACACGGTACTAAGTATGTGCTACATAAGAATGGCCAACCTAACTTAAGCACTAACTGGGTGTTCTGAAAATTTTACATTTTTCATATCTTTTAACCATAGCAACAAGCTTACGGTGGATGTCCTATCGTGATTCCCGCTGTTCAAACGAAGGAAGGCTGGGCCGGGAGAACTTGACTAGCTCCACGACGCCCCCTGGGCACACGGTGGGCCTGGGGTGCAGTCCCAGCCAGACCGAGCCCAGAGCTTGCCTCTCACCATGCCGTTCTGTAGAATCCTGAACAAATCCTTGAATAAACACCTGAACGAGTTAAAATCACTTCATGGCCTTTTGGCTGCGATGCCAGGTCTTCTACAAGCAGCTGAATGAGTCTGAATGACAGTAATTCTCTAGTAGGATTTCACTGTGGCAGCTTCTCTTCTGCGTGCAATGGCCCAGTCCAAACTCTAAGTAAAACTAAAACACAGATAAAATTCCTGTGACTTAACTCACACCCCAGACCTTGAGTGTAGATGATACCCCACATTTAAGAAGGAAAAAGTCCTTTCTTTCTTTCCTTGTTCTTTTTCTCTTTCATTCCTTCCTTCCTCCTTTTTTTTTTTTTTTTTGAAATCAGGGATTATCTGACATTTTCATCCTTACCTAGCATTTTTAAATAGCATATTTTAGAAAACATATTCTGCGTAGGATGGTTCCAGGCAGGTTGTCTGTGAGCCGCGATGAGCGTAGTGGTTTGGAGGACTTGCTGAGGTGGTCGTTGTGGTCCGAGTGCCTTTCCTCTCTTCTTGGCTGCTAGTCACTAACGGAGCCTCTGGAGGGCGATAGAGCTGCCGCAGTGCACTCTGACCCCACGCGACTTTTGCAAAGGTCACGCTGCTGCATGAGGCTTTCTAAGACTTCTAGACGTTGGTAGCCCTAATGCAAAAGGAACACAAAGGCTCGGTTGTGACTAAATATGTTTTGGCAGCTGGGTGCGAGGCATGTGTTTATGCAGGACATTTCCTAAAGTAGCGGCGATTAAAAACCAGATGGACTTTCCAAAGAGTGAATAATTCCTGGTCTTAAGGTAGTATATTTCAGATTAGTACGAAAAGACCCAGTGGCAAGAAAAACATAATGCATGGTGGCAACATGAAAAGAACCACCCGCCTCGGTCCTTTCCTCTGTAGCTGTGTTGTAAAGGTGACTTCGGGAGGCCAGGGGTTGGGGGGACAAGTGGGCTGGCCGGGGTTCTGGGAGGGGTCACCCTCGGTCCAGACGTGGTGGCTCGTTCCTGGCGAGGAGCAGAGTCAGCTTTGCCAGTTCTTTGGTCGCTGTATACAGGAGAGTGGCTGGGCGGCGTTGCCGGCTTTTAGCCACAGAATTTCCAAACTGATTTAAAAAATTAAGACCTATACATCGATAATGAATCAGATCCCATTGAGGGCTGAGGCATCAACCGTATGTGTGCCAGGCATTTTACTAGGCTCGTTACCTATATTATTGAATGTGATGCTCGTTACAAATCTGTGCACAGGCAGAATTATTCTTCATTTTAGAAATGAGGAAACTGAGTCCTCTGTAAAAGGCAAAGAGAGCCAGGAAACCATAAGTATTCTAGTGACCAAACCAGAAACTTTATATTTTAAAATTATGATAATTCTTGGATTTATTTTTTGCTTTACTTAGGTAGAATAAAGTAACCAGTTTCAAGTAACAAATACTAAGAGGGCAAAATGCCAGCATTATGAAATACTATGTTCATTCCAGTGTTTTGGCATAATGCAGTTCTTAGCACTCAATTTTCTGGCTGAGAGACGCTAAATGGTGATTCTGTGTGATTATTTTGCATCCCGTATTTTTAAACGTTTGCAGAACACATTGGTGACGTACTGATTTTGTTTGCTCGCACCGCGGTCCGAGAGGTTGAAACACCCTTCTGCATTTTCATTCCCGTGTTGTGGGTGCGGAACTGGCGTTTAGAGGTGGAATCAGAATCAGCTATTCTGGCCCAGACTGTCCTGAACTTTCCATCCTCCCAAACGTCACCTCCACTGTTTTTTAAAAAAAAACTATGCTGTGTTTGGAGTGGCTCCTTTAGCCCAGAATTTCCAAATATGAGTTGCCTAACTTGCTGAAACAAGTGCCCTTTTGCAGAATTATCTTGGGGAAATCTGTGTATACTATGCTCACTAATTTGAGATTTAATATTTCCAATGAGAGAATCTTATTTAATAGAACACATAAAATTCTCCCCTTTCCTTTTTTTTTGAAAATACCGTCTTAGTCCATTCAGCAGGTTCTTATAAAAAATATCATCGACCAGGTGGCTATATCTTTGGGTTTCTGACAGTGACTGTGAGGCAGAGGAGAAGACCTATAGGATACAATAAAAGGAATGTTAAAAAGTTCGATTTTGTTTTGAACACAGATCGAGAGGTACGGATTCCCGCCGGATCTGGCTCTTTCTCCCCGAGAAAGCGTCGAGCTTTACGACATGATGCGGCAGGTCTGGAGAAGCTGGCCGCGGGCCCAGGTAAGCACGGTCATGGCACGGGCGTCACTGTAGAGGGCTCAGCACGACCAACCCTCAGCCTTTCTAATCGATTGCATCTGATCTTTTAAAGTTATTAGTGGGCCTTTTCCAAAATAAGGAAATCCCCCTTTCTCATGCATGCCTCTTCCTAACATCTGCCTTTTTTTTTTTTTTTAAATGGGTTTTAAATTGTGTTTTATTCCTGAAAATATTTCTTCTTTCAACTTCTGGGAGGCTGTCGTATTTTAGTTTCCTCTTACACTTTGGGTTTATATTCCTCCAGTTTTTTGGGGTTTTTTTCCCCTTACACCTGCCTCCTTTCTCTATGTCATAACTGCCGTCTGTTTGCACCTTCTGCTTTGCTTTGCGTCCATTCCTCGGAAGAGCTCACCATCCTCACGGTTAATGTGCTAAAGATACAGGGGTAAAAAGAAGTTCAACCATCCCTGCCCTCCAGAAGCTTGGGACGCTGACGATGAGGCGTCTGATTGAGAAACTCCTTCGCATTATCTTGCCTGATTTTAATTTTGTGGCATTTGTTTTCAAGGAGCTATGTCCAGAGAACTTTGTTCATTTTAGCAATAAATTAGTCATTAAGAAGATGGACGCTAGAAAATACGAAGAGAACTTAAAGGCAGAATTAAAGAATTGGATTGAAAACGGCAACGTGGAAGAGGTGATTTTCACCTGTGTTTGGCAAAACGCTATATTCTTGATTGTTTTCTTGACTTGTATCATTCAATTAATACCATTTTCGCTTTTCTTTTCTTTTCTTTTTCTTTTCTTTTCTTTTCTTTTCTCTTTCCTTCCTTTACTTTCCTTTCCTTTCCTTTCTCTTCTTTTTTTTTTTGAGAACAGAGTCTCACTGTTGCCCGGGCTAGAGTGCCGTGGCGTCAGCCTAGCTCACAGCAACCTCAAACTCCTGGGCTCAAGCGATCCTCCTGCCTCAGCCTCTCGAGGAGCTGGGACTATAAGCACCATGCCCAGCCAATTTTTTCTCTATATATTTTTAGTTGGCCTGTTAAATTCTTTCTATTTATAGTGGAGATGGGGTCTCGCTCTTGCTCAGGCTGGTTTTGAACTCCTGACCTTGAGCTATCCTCCCACCTCGGCCTCCCGGAGTGCTGGGATTACAGGCGTGAGCCGCCACGCCCAGCCATTTTCTGGGTTCTTTAATCTTCAATTTTTATTTTAGAACTTTAAGTAGAACATGAAATCTGGCGATTCTGAGATAGAATAAAAAGAGAGAAAAGAAACTGGTCTTTGTCTTACCTTCAGGGTCCCCTCAAGCGTGTGCCGGGTGCTGCTGGCTCCTCGGTGTGAAGCAGATGGGAGCAGAAGGTCACTGCCCGGAGGGACAGGAACGGCCAGGCTGCTGCCCTGTGCCCTGGCCCTGCAGGGCCTAGACTCACAGCAGGAGCCGAGAAGAGTTTCTCACTCTTCTTCCTTTTTTGGTCTTGGAGTTGTTGTTTTTTTTTCTCTCTCTTATGATTTTTATTTCAGTTGTAGGAACTTTAACCCAGAGTCCTATAAGTTATGCATATTTATTTTAAGTGACTTGCTGGTCTTTGTATTTTGACGTTTATTTTTATTGTCACAAATTGAAGTTTCTGATTTTTCAGGAGTGACATATAGGAAACATTCCTCATTTCATTTCTTTCCCCCCATTATACTTTAATCTCCTCCCATTCAGAAATGTAGTATGATTGACTTACATGTTCTTCTAGCTGTTTTGTTATTTAAAAACCTGGAATATGTTTGGAAGTGATCTTTCTCACTGAGAAACCGAGTCACTCCTCCCCTCCATGCATGGAACCAACATCATTTACAGAATAATCTTGACTGAATTGTGCTGCCTTAAAAAATTGCATGTTAAATTGCGTGTGCGTGTGTGTGTGTGTGTGTGTATGCGACTATCAAATTTTTGTTCTCTGATGTATTGATTTGTATGTTTCTTTGATGGTTCTTTGCATAATTTTATCATATACTTTCATAGGACTTTTTTAAAAAACATAGAAACATATATTAGACAACTATGAAAATACTTTAGCCAAAAGTAGTAATTTCTTTCTTTCTTATGCACAACTTAAAACAAATAATCTTTTATTCACTGCTGCAGGCCAAAATGGTGCTAATGAATCTTAGTCCTAAATCAGATTTTACTGCAGAAAACATGCCGAGCAAGTTTCCACTTCTCGTTGAAACGCTAAGGAAAATGGACAAGTTACCTGCACTGTTCTTTTTGTAAGTTATTTAATTTCATTTGTTTTTGTTTGTAATTGTATCAGGCCCATTCCTTTAAAGTGAGGAGAATTAAACTTTACTGTTATAATATACCACTCATGACTATTTCTAGTGCCCGTTTGTTATTCAAATGCATATATTATTTAAAATATACCTTTCTAGTTCAAGTCTTCTAAAATATTTTTACTTATGCTATCATAAATTACTTTCTTTGCTTAATTCACTATTCAATTTTTTGTTTTCTCTGCATTGTAAGCAATTATTCTTATTTAGGTCTTGTTATTTTTCAGTACATACCCAGCTCCTTTGCAAAACAAATTGAATGTATATGCGCACAAGTATCTTACGTAAAATTAAAGTCTCCTTACGATAGACTATTTATTGGCAGGGTATTTTATCATATTTAATTCATTGTAATGAGAACTATGACCTAGAGTCACTTATATCTTGCTGAATTTTATATATGATAGTATAACATAGCTTAAAATTGAACAAAATAGTCCAGTTTCAATAAAGTGACACCAAAGTATAATTTATTAAATGGATAACACTCTCTATCCTGGATCAACCTTGATAACAGTTTGGGATTAGAACAGAATATTTACTTCAGATAATTTCAAACTACACTTAAGCCATGGAAGCTTAAATAAATAAAGCCAGAGTCTTACCCAGGTGGTAAAGTTTAATGAAATTTGTTCACATGTAAACAGACGTATAGTAATGAATTATCATTAGTGATATATATTTAAAATGATAATGATGCATGAATGTAAATTTTCATTTTGAAGCTTTGGGGATTGCAATGAAATTACTCCTTTTATGTTTGTTATCGGGAGAAGAAAAATAAATAATTTCTCTACTGCCAAGCAGTTACAGAGCTCACCTACTTCATTGTCAAGCATAGCTGTAGATTTTAGTTAGAAACAAAAACAATTCTGTACCTTTGGGATGTTTCTGAAAACCTAACTGCAGAATATTAACAGAAGTCCAAAAATAACTATTCATTACCCATATGTAGCAGACAAAGTTTCACCTCTTCCCTCTTAGGATTTCTCAGCTGGGCCTGAGAATTAATATGATATAAAACAGATGAACAAAAAAGCATAAAAAATTCATTTAATGTAAGTTGTACATTAACAGAATTATATTGATGATATTACTTTCAAGTGGAGCAGTCTTTCTATTGCTTGCAGATTCAAGTTAGGGGCTGTAGAAGGCGCGGCTAAAAGCGTGCACGCTTTCCTGAAGCAAAGGCAGGAGATGAAGAGGCCTCCCAACGCCGACAAAGAAGCCCACGTCATGGCTCGCAAACTCCGAAAAGTTAAAAAATCCCTGGAGAAAAAAATGATGGTGTAAGTGTTTCACTGAACAGGTCGGTCTGTAAAGGGTTAAAAAAACACTTCTCGAGTCCCGGTGGGAAACACACACACACACACACACACACACACACGCGTGTGCGCACTCGCACACACGCATCCACACATGTGCACACACACGTGATTGTGCTCTGTAAAGAATTCTAGCTGTGGCTTGGCCTCGTTTGCAACCCGAGTGAATTTGGGTGGGAGCGTGGCGTCAGCCTGGTGACCCTTTCTCCCGCGTCCTCGCTGCACTCTCCACAGTGAGGGGCAGGTCCTGCATTGTAACGGGCTGCTGCTGTTCGTTTGCATATATTTCCTTTTCCCCAGATTTTAAGCTCATTTACAATAAGAACAACATATTTTATTTTTTTTTCTGTCTCCAGTGCTGGGCACCTTGCCCTGCAGGTAGGAATTGCTCCGTCGGCATTTTTTTTTTTTTTTTTTTTTGAGACAGAGTCTCACTTTGTTGCCCAGGCTAGAGTGAGTGCCGTGGCGTCAGCCTAGCTCACAGCAACCTCAGACTCCTGGGCTCAAGCAATCCTCTGCCTCAGCCTCCCGAGTAGCTGGGACTGCAGGCATGTGCCACCATGCCCGGCTAATTTTTCCTATATATATTAGTTGGCCAATAAATTTCTTTCTTTTTATAGTAGAGACGGGGTCTCACTCTTGCTCAGGCTGGTTTCAAACTCCTGACCTTGAGTGATCCGCCCGGCTCAGCCTCCCAGAGTGGTAGGATTACAGGTGTGAGCCACCGCGCCCGGCCTTCCTCAGCATTTTTGAGGGAACGATCCATAGCTCCCTCCAAGTTGAAATGGCCTCTAGAGCATCCCTGACTCAGTTTCCCCAGTTCCGGAGGAAACTAGGGTTTGCCGCTGATCCTCCTGCTTTTATTCCCTCTGCCCGTGCGTGCTGCTCCCTGGGACTGTGGGAGCCTCCCAGGGACAGTGGAGGCTGAGCCTCCGCAGAACACAAGCGCTCTGGGCAACTTTCCCTCAGGACCCTGGGGACCGCGTCTGCGGTTGGGTGCGTGACTGGCAGTTCCAGCCGTGAAGATGGAACCGGAGCTCTGCTGAGGGCCAGGGCCCTGCCGCGGCCCGAGCTCCAGAAAGCGGCACCCTGGCACCGTCTGTCGTGTCCATTCCCAGTGTGGCTGGGGAACAGCCCGCCCGGTGCCCCTCGCCCTTCCAAAGTCCAGGTGGTCAGGGAGTTAGCCGTACGGGTCAGGGGAGGGGGAGAGGGTGTCCTTTACCTGGCAGTTTGTTGCCTTGATGAAAACACCTGGCCCGGTAATAGCACGTGGGCGGGCGCTGTGCCAGGCCTGACGAGGCGTGGTGGCTGTCGGGGAGAGGGCACTCGCTGGAGGGACACAGGTGTGCAGGGTGAAGAGACACCAGGAATCAAGGGCTGGTCAGTGGCCTGGGCGTGTGGGGCGGCTGCCCCTCTGCACATTGATGGCAACACGGCCTGATGACTCAGAAGGGAGAGTGGCAGGTGGTTCACTGCGGGACGTGCTCAGGAGGGGCGGGGAACAAGGTGAGGAAGCAGGAAAGGCAGGTGAAGAAGGGACGTGGGGACACAGGTCCTGCCAGCCACAGCTTGAGCCTGGCTCCCCAGACACTGGGGCACCACAGAACCATGCCCTTGAACCCAGGGGCTGATTTTGATTCCTCGCATGGGTAGTTACTGGCCCTGGTGTGTCCCCACCCCCAGGGCGGGCTGTGACCTCCTGGCAGGGCGTTCCTCCCAGGGGTCCATCGGTGGGAGCCAGTATTTAGGGAGAGGCGCCGGAGCCCCACTAGTGACCCCACTGACAGCAGCCCTGACACCACCCACTGCAGGGTGGGGAGGGTGCTGGAATGGGGGGTGCTGGAATGGGGGGTGCTGGAATGGGGGGTGCTGGAATGGGGCGTGCTGGAATAGGGGGGTGCTGGAATGGGGGGTGCTGGAATGGGGGGTGCTGGAATGGGGGTGCTGGAATGGGGGGTGCTGGAATGGGGGGTGCTGGAACTGTCATGTGCAGCACGAAGCTCGCCTGCCCGACTCCCAGTCTGGTGGCTCGAGGGTGAAGGAGAGAAAGTGACCCTCACTTTAGCAGGGAGAAGCCGGCTCATCCGGGGAGAGCTGGATTTGCAAGAAAGAAAGGGACTGTCGCGGGAAGTACAGAGGTGCAGTGGAGTCTCCTCCCCAGGGGTGGCGCTCCAGGGGCGGCGGCGGAGGGGCGGGAGGAAGAGGGCTGAGTGGAGACAGCGCAGACGGGAGGAGAAGCGGGAGTCTGGCGTTAAGGGGCTCTGTGCCGTGGGAAGTCTCGTGCTTCCCAGGGTGTTCCGATTGCTTAGTAGTTAGGTCATTCATTGCTTAAAAATCCATTAATGAACATTTTACTTTTGTGAACAGAGAAGAAAAGCCAGAAAAACCCCAGAAAAACCCCAGAAAAAGCCAGAAAAACCCCAGAAATATGGATCAAGCCCTCGTACAGGCCGCTGAGCACGACCATCTTCTGAGGAGTCTGAGGAGGAACCTGGAAGTCCCGCAGGACTGCACCTACGCTGACCGGAAGGCGCTGCCCGCCGAGGTCAGCACCGGAATGACGCCGTTGCCGGAGATGTGTCGGTCACCAGCCGCAGCTGCTCTCTTGCAGACAGTGCTTAGCGTGACACACGCGTGATCTATTACACAGCAAGCACAGGCCCTGCCTGGGGAAAAGTACTTGTGCAGGATCCAAGTGCTCTGCGCACACACCTACGAGGACAGGGCTAGGGCGTCACACCTACGAGGACAGGGCTAGGGCGTCACACCTACGAGGACAGGGCTAGGGCGTCACACCTACGAGGGCAGGGTTAGGGTGTCAAACCTACGAGGACGGGGTTAGGGTGTCACACCTACGAGGACAGGGTTGTGGCGTCACACCTACAAGGACAGGGTTAGGGTGTCAAACCTACGAGGACAGGGTTAGGGTGTCACACCTACGAGGACAGGGTTGTGGCGTCACACCTACAAGGACAGGGTTAGGGTGTCACACCTACGAGGACAGGGTTAGGCTGTCACACCTACGAGGACAGGGTTAGGGTGCCACACCTACGAGGAGAGGGTTAGGGTGTGTAGAGTATTTCTCGCTCGCTAACAGCTCACCTCTGAGGATGTCTTCCCTTTCCTTATTCCCTTTTATTAAATCGTTTTTGTAGCCCGAATTCTAGACTTCAGTCTCATATGCCTCATTTGAAAATTCGGTACATGTGGTCCAACACACTTTAAATGTTCTCAGAATTTCTCAAAATCAGAGACGTTCTCTATTGTAGCTAAAACATTCCATCCAGGAAGCGCTAGACTGCCTGACAGTGGTATAGCCTTTCTGCTTGGAAACCTTTTCCTTATGCAACGTTTTTATGCCTGCGGTAGACAAATTGGAACATCCATACAAATTGGTAACGAGAAAAGCAGTGTCATCACTCAGAAGTAATTACTGTCCTCCCAGATGAAACCTTGTATCTGTGACAATGCACACACACCCACATACACACATTTTTTGTGTGTATATGCATATCTTCATTCTACTGTCTAGCTGTTTTTGTAAACTTCATGGGCTCTTCCTGTCTCACAACCGTGGATTTATTGATACGTTGTCGTTTTACTGGAGCCCTGACGCTCCACTGGGTGAAGGACTGTCCCATCATTGAGGTGACCAGTAATCAGCCTTTTGCTTTGAGGAACTAAGGATTCTGTGTTTTCCTTTTCCCGATTCCCATGAGCAGTTTCTAGCTCTGTCCTTCTAAATCTGGACACAACTGGATCATCCTCCTCGGGACGTAGATATTTTTAAGGCTATTTGTGACCAATGTATTGTGGGAAGCATGCATTCCCCGGCCATATGGGTAAGGAACACACTTTGGCTTCCTGGGAAGTCTGTCTCCGGGGAGAGCCCCCGAGGGTCCTTCCCTCTCCTCCCCGCAGGGAAGGCTTGTCTCGTAGTGACTGTCCTTCGTCATCATGCAGAATCCATTTCCAGCAGTTGCCTCATCTGGCCGAATTACTACCTAGCACACGTGTTATGTTTATATAAACATTTTCGATGCAATTCACATTAAAATTAGATTAGCAAAATCTCCGTTAAACCTCTTGCTTCTTTTAGACTTTACAGATGGTGTTCGATCGAGTCAAGTTCGAAAGAAAAGGTGAACAGCTGAAAGCATTGGCCAGGAGGGGGGTCGGATACCATCACAGTTCCATGAGCTTCAAAGAAAAGCAGCTGGTTGAAATTCTCTTCAGGAAAGGATTTATTAGGGTAGGTACGCTTTTTCCATTCTAAAAATTATAGTTGGGACTCTCTCCAGCTGAATTTTCACTACACGTAAATCTGTAACCACCTCTTTTCTTTTTTCGTCTCGTAATTACGTATTTTAATTTGAACAACCCATAATGTCTCTGCATGTCCCCGTCTCCTTTAACTGAGGAGGGTGTTTGTGTAATAAAATGTACCCGTGCTGATCTGGGCACAACTCTTACTATCTCATTTATAATATCTAGGAAGTGTTGTCAGTTGTTCATATAATTTTGGCTACAGACGTTCTCTCATGGGTTTGGAGGACATTGATAATAGAGTTTGGGTCTGATCTTTCCCTAGTGTAGTGACTAAAAAAAGAGCGAGAATACACTGGTTTCTCAGGGCCTGTCACATATCTTGGCAGAGTTTCTAGACGTGTCGATCCTACATTCTCTCCCTGACAGTGGACAAGAGGAATTTTAACTGAACTCTGAAACCAAACACTTGTTATGTTTTGTTTAGTGTATCCTCTGAGGGTGCGGGGAGATGGTCTAGATAAATTCACAAAAAGGGTTTATGTAATTTGGATCTTGAGTAATATTTTAAAATAGACACCAACTCTAAAAAAATATGTGCGTTAAATTTTGTATGACATACGTTATATTCATGTGAGAGAGAGAGAGAGATTGAGACTGATTCTGCTACTCTAGGCAGCATCTTTTAATCTTAATGTTCTTCAACAGCTAAATGTTTAAAAAAATCTGACACTGTAGCTAAAAGATAACTCTGTTATCTGTAAAGAAAACTAATATGTATCATTAAAACTTTGCTTAGCTTTTCTCTTAACTAATAACTATTTATTTGTTTAAAAGGTTAATAACCAGTGACAAAATTTTCTGCATGCTTGTGGAATGAGAGGCACATGTGTTTTTGCCAGCGTAGATTATGGTATCTGTTAAATAGCACGACAGCCCCAATCACACTGGCTGATGTGGGGTCTCAATCCACGGAGGCTAATTAAGCCAAACTTCGAGGACACACCTGGGAAAAACACAAACCACAGATGCATCTGCGACTGTGGCTGTTTTTCTGGGGGGCGGGGGGATTTGGGGACTTCAGTGTTTACAGAGGAGAGAAATACAGAAGAGAATGGATGAGGGGCGGGCTGTGAGGCAGGATGGTCACATTCTTGTGAGGCCCAGGAAGTCTGCATTTTACGTAGGATACGGTGAGTGTGGGAAGACAGAAAGGGAGTGAAGGAAGAGTCAACCATGCAGATGTCCCCGGGTAGGTGGAAGTAGGATGGATCTTGTCTCATCTCTGTTCTGCACCTGGGGAGATACACTTGCAATCAGTAGTATTAGTGTGGGATTTAACAGACTTTAGTTTTAGGAGCTACACTTGGTCTGCAGACCCAATGCTACGATTAGCATCTTCTTGCTTAATGGGGGGCCAGCAAGGAATTTCCTTATGAGTGATCTGTGGGGCAGCCCCTGTAGGTCTTTGCAGCTCGTGACTGTCCGTGGGGTCGGGCTGTGCAGTATTGGTGACGGCTGTTCATGTGGAAAGTGCGTGTTGCGTGACTTGGCCTCCAGGCTTGGCCTTCCCTTTTGCATAAAGAGTTGGGGGCTGGTCTTGAGATTTTTATTTCTCTTTACAAGTAGCTGCTCCACTAGCAATACCTTAATGAATGACTAGGGCACTCTGGGAAAGGTACTATGGAAATAGTGGTAGCTTTGCTACAGAGAACACATTTTTAAAAGATACTTACTCTTGTTATTTTCTAAGTTTGATGTTCTTTCTCCACTTTTGTTCTTGCTGTAGAACTTTAGAAAAAACAGTTAATAAATGGTGTGTTGCATTTTGACGGATGTGTAGATCTCAGTCACAGAATGAATGATCAGGGGAAAGCATACTTAAACATTAACCGTGGCATGTACGAGAATCAGTATAAAAATAAAGAGGGGGCAGTCAGAAACGCCCAGCGTCTTGTGAAAGGGTGAGCAAAATGCAGGGTTATCTGATTATCCAAGTAAATCCTTTGAAGTTTCCCCTACTGCTTCTGTGGTCAGTTATCGGGACAGTTCAGAGGGGAGGAAAAGAAACTTTATTTTGCTCTCATGACTGAGATACATTATTGTTATTGATATCATCTCAACAGACCTTAGTTGACACAGTAGGTAATTACACAGAGGAAGGCTTGTAACAGTTTTATTGTCCAATCATGAGGAAATTTATTTTGTGGTCATTTATTTAAAAATATTTACTGAGCCACAGGTGCCGGGGCTACAACGAGCGGTGCTTGGAGTCCGGGTTAGACAAGGACACATTCAGGTGACAGTATCGAGAGAGTAGTTAGTTACTGCTGTGAAGATAATAACCCACATGGCAGAGACAGGTAACGGTGGCAGGTGGTTATTGCTATTGCAGATGAACCAGTGCAGAAATTCTCCTGCAATGGAAGGAGCCAGACAAATGAATATTTGGCAAAGAATATTCCATGCAACGCAAACAGTACACTTAGGAGCGTGCTTGGTGTGTCTAGTTTTTCTAGCTTTCCCACTGTGGTTTAACTGAAGTTTAAAGAGATCTTCAGTACCTGTAGGGCAGGAAATAAATCCTTGCATTCTATTAAAATGCCATTTTATGAAATAATTGTTCCATTCTCTTCCTAGGTGGTGACAGCTACCGGAACACTTGCATTGGGGGTCAACATGCCGTGCAAGTCTGTGGTGTTTGCTCAAAACTCAGTCTATCTGGATGCTTTGAATTACAGACAGGTACTGCCGTGTGTATAAACATTCTTATCGCATTGCTAAAATGTAGCGGTAAAACAGTAAAAATCCACGAACCTTTAGCCTAGCAGACATGCTCCAATTCTCGGGGGCACGCCGCGGCGTTGAGCTGCGCCCGGCTGCCGTTTTTGGCTGTGATTCGGTTGAAAGCAGCGGTCTGGCGTCTGCCACGGCTGCTGTGCAGACGTGTGAACTTGGATGAGGCGTCTACACTGCCTGAGCCGCCTCTCCTAGCTCCAGAACTGGGTCGTGGGCACCGTCCCACAGCATTTGCAAGAATGAAAGAAGGTGGTTTGTGAGAAGGGCGTGCACGGAAGGCACGCACACCTGTGCACAGAGGCTTCCACCCGTTCGTTCGCTGGGCGCGGGAGTTTGCACCGGGGCTGTCGTTGGCGCTTCCCTCTTCTCTGCTCCCGACTCTCGGTCTCCCACCACGTCCCCCTCGTGACTCTGCCGCGGCGTGTCTGCTTGCGGGTTCCGTGTGCGCCTCTGCGTCCTGCTCCTGGCCTCGCGTCGCCAGGGCAGTTTCTCTCTCTCTCCCGTGCCCTGCGGGCAGCACTGTCTGTGTTCAGACGTCTCCTTGCTCGGGACAACGTCCCACGTACTCCTGTGGCAGTGCCGGACTCAGACACGTCATCGCACGCTCCAGTTCTCATCGCAGTGGCTCCTCCTTTTCTCCCCAAACACGTTTTATTCTTCTCCTTGTTCCCGCCCAGCACCAACCCCCCGTTTTCCATTTCGGCTCTCGCTGCGGGATTCTGCACGGACCCTCCTGCCTCAGCCTCAGGGATCTCCCGGCGGGGCTCTGGCAGAGGGCGCGGTGCCGTCTGCGATGACGGCGGGCCTGGGACTCGGAACGCCAGGGTTCCAGTCCTGGACCCTCCAGCTGGGGGCGTCTGCGGGCGAGTTTCCCGCGTTCCCGCGGCCTGGGCGCAACCCAAGCGCCTAACAGGGGAGAGTCGACGTACCCCCGGGAGGAGTTTGTTCGTAACTTGCTTTTTGCAAGTGGCGTCTCTGAATTTTACCTCACGTGTGTATTTTCTGGGTTTGTGCACAGCTTCTGTTTTGAGATTTGTAACTTAGCACGCTTGTGTGCCAGAGCGTGGGGAAGAGGGGTGAGGGAGGGCGAGGGGAGGACCGGAGATTGGGGCGCCAGGGTCCAGCTGTCAGTGAACTTGAAGTCAGTGTTTTGCTGTTACTGCTCTTTGTTTCTTCCCGATACTGCTACACAAAGACTTAGCACAGGCCGGGCGTGGTGGCTCTCGCCTGTAATCCTAGCAGTCTGGGAGGCCGAGGCGAGCAGATGGTTTGAGCTCAGGAGTTTGAGACCAGCCTGAGCAAGAGTGGGACCCTGTCTCTACTAAAACAAATAGAAAGAAATTAGCTGGAAAACTAAAAATATCTATCTATCTATCTATCTATCTATATAAAAAATTAGCTGGGCATGGTGGTACATGCCTGTAGTCCCTGCTACTCAGGAGGCTGAGGCAGGAGGATCGCTTGAGCCCAGGAGTGTGAGGTTGCTGTGAGCTAGGCTGACGCCATGGCACTCACTCTAGCCTGGGCAATAGAGTGAGACTCTGTCTGAAAAAAAAAAAGACTTAGCACCATTAACGGTGTGAAATCAGCATGTAATAATGATGACTGTCCCACATTGAAGCTCCATCTCAGTCACAGTGTAAATTTGCTAAGCACGGCATAGTGGGACACTAGTCTTAGTCGAGTAACGGTTGGACAGACACACGCGATTCACTTGCCCCAGGTAGACGTAAAAGGCTCAGTTCTCACCGTGAGGGCGGACGCATTCAGGGAACTCACCTGCATTGGTTCTGTTCTGTTTCCAGATGTCTGGCCGTGCTGGGAGGAGAGGTCAGGACCTGCTGGGAGACGTGTACTTCTTCGACATCCCGTTCCCCAAAATCGGAAAGCTCATAAAGTCCAACGTTCCGGAGCTGAGAGGACAGTTCCCTCTGAGCACAACCCTGATCCTGCGGCTCATGCTGCTGGCTTCCAAGGGGGACGACCCTGAGGATGCCCAGGCGAAGGTACGTGCAGCTCGCCATCTATGGCTCCCTGTCTGTGGCTCCCTGGTGCGGCTCCCTGTCTGCGGCTCCCTGGTGCGGCTCCCTGTCTGCGGCTCCCTGTCTGCGGCTCCCTGGCGTGGCTCCTGTCTGTGGCTCCCTGTCTGCGGCTCCCTGTCTGTGGCTCCCTGTCTGCGGCTCCCTGTCTGTGGCTCCCTGTCTGCGTCTCCCTGTCTGGGGCTCCCTGTCTGCGGCTCCCTGTCTGGGGCTCCCTGGTGCAGCTCCCTGGCGCGGCTCCCTGTCTGCGGCTCCCTGTCTGTGGCTCCCTGTCTGCAGCTCCCTGGCACGGCTCCCTGTCTGCGGCTCCCTGTCTGCGGCTCCCTGGTGCGGCTCCCTGTCTGCAGCTCCCTGTCTGCGGCTCCCTGTCTGCGGCTCCCTGGCGTGGCTCCTGTCTGCGGCTCCCTGTCTGTGGCTTCCTGTCTGTGGCTCTCTGTCTGCGGCTCCCTGTCTGCAGCTCCCTGGCGCGGCTACTTCACACTGGCCTGGTGGCCGCTGGGCCCACCATTGACTTGGAAGTGGGGAGCAATGACCCTTCTGTTTCATCAGTGTTATAAAATCTTCAGTAGGGCAGGACTGGGGGTAGCTGGGGAGAGTGGTAGTTGGTTCCCGCTGCCGGACGTAGACCGTGTGGCTGGCTGGACATTGGGCGTGGCCGGGACCGCCGTGTTCAGGTGTGGCTGGCCATGGATCTAACTGCATCCTCTGGGTTAGAGCCCTCCTTCTGCCGTTTTGAAACAAAAAGGGATGTTTTTATGATTTTCTAAGAAAAAGTGTATGTGTCATAAAAAAGCAACCTGAGTTCATTAAAGACTATCTGGAAAACGTAGAATGTTGAAAGAAGAAAAAAATAACCCCAGACCTACTTTCACTACCCAAAGACAATCACATCATCACTTTTATTTTTTCCCAGTCATTTTTCCAGGTATCATTTTTCTGAGTGTGCATTTGGTTTCTAAACACTGATAGAGTTGTATGTAATTGGACTTCAAAATATGGTTGTCAACTTTTCTTTTACGTTTGCTGCTCAGAGAAATATTTTGTGCCCAGTCCCACTGTGGGAGATTTAAAATTCATCATCAGATTATTTGATTTTTGTCTTTATGAAGATGCCTTGCTGAAGGCTACCGGGCCTGTGTTTGGGTATTAATGAGTGTTCCTAGGTGAATCAGGTACTGTTTTTTTGAGCTGAGGACTCTCCTAGTGCCCTCGTGGTGAGTTGGCTGATTCTACAGAGCAGGCATACATCATTTTAACCCAAAACTTCCCAATTTGTGAGTGCTTGACTTTTACCTCTCTTTAGAGAGGAGTTTGTCTTCTAACAAGGTTTATTATTTTTTCAAAAAGGTTTTCGGGGTGGTTCATTGTCTTTGCCTTGGCATATTTGAGAAGACCCATATCATCTTTTTATATAGCACTCAGATATGGTTGCAGCATTCTCAGGATATGCTCTTCTTCCTGACATCGAGCTGCGATGGCCTCATGTCCTTCTGCGTTTAGTGGTACACAGCACCTTGGGAGTCTCGCCCAGAGGAGCCCTCTTAGTGTCTGTCCTTTTGCACTTAATTTTTTTCTATGTAATTATATGAATCTTTTTCTGTGTCCTATTTGAAATGGTTTTTCCCCAGGATTTTCTATTTTGTGTGTCCTTTTTAAAATTGATGCTTCAGCGACTATACAATGAGACCTTTCAATCTTCAAGCTCAGGGTTTTTTTTTTTTTATTGTGGTGAAATGCACATAAGATAACGCTATCTCAACCATTTTAAGTGAGTGGTTCAGTGGTGGTAAGTACATTCCCCTCGTTGTGCAATGCTCGGGTATTTTTCAAACTCAGAAACGGTTTCTTAAATTATATCTTTGTTGTTTTAGTCTGTTATTGTAATTGCTCAGTTTCTTTTTTCAGGAAAACTTTATAATTTTTAAATAGAACCCCCCTGTTCTGTTCTCCATTGTTACCTGTTTCTTTGTTACAAGAAAACATGAAATCTGTCTTCCACATCACCGCTGCTGTTCTGCAGTTTTAATTCTGCTCTTGAGTAGTTAACGTGTGGATTTTGACTCTGCTGCTGCTGGACTTTGAGTTTTCCTGAAATTCTTCATTTCTTCCCCCTTCACTCTTTCATATCCTAACAATGTGGCATTTTTCAATGTCAGTTTATAGTGTCTATATGCCATGCGCTGTTGTGCTTTGTCTCATAGAGGCCATATCATTTGGCGTTCAGTGACAATTTTTCAAAACAATTTTTTTAATTTTTGCTTCATGCAGTAAGCAATTTTGGAGGTCAGCCTCCCCCCCCCCCTACTTTTTTTTTAAGAGTAAAAGCCACCGTCCTTGTCACAGTCCCTGAGGCTTTGCAGGACCTGGTCTCTTGACAGCATGTTGAGCTCAGCTCTTCCCGCTCTGTCTCTCGGGCCCCACCTGCTCCTCGGTGCCCCCGTGTGGGGACCACGGGTCCTGCTGCTGTGGCTGCTTCTGGATCTTCCCCCAGATACACACGCACGGCCTCGCTCCCTGACCTCCTCACCTTCCCTGCGCCAGCGTCACCCTTGGCGACGAAGCCTGTCCTCACCCCACCTTCTGAACCCGGATGCTCCTGCCGTTGGCCATGTCCTCAATGTCTCTTCTTTGGTCCACGCAGCGCTGGTCACTCTCCCATAGCATCGAGTCCGTCTGTGTAGACAGACTCACCTTCCCGTGTTCCTACCTGTGCCGTGTTCCCGCTTGCTCTCTCTGTTCCCCACTGGAACGTAAGCTCCCCGAAGCCAGTGATGTCAGTTCGTCCTATTTTCCGGTGTAGACATTCGATGAATATTTGTAGCATATGATCAATTATCTTATGAAAAAGTGATCTGTTTTGGGTTTTCCTATTTTCTCACTGTTGAGTGAAGAGGCGCATATCCGTATTTGGTTGTTGTTTTCACAGCAGTAGGACGTGTGGCATGCTCTCACGGCATCACTCTGCGCCCCGAAGTGCTGTTTAAATCCCCTTGCAAATGTGAGACTGGACGGATAGTTTGGGCCTTTATCTCTTTATCTCTGCGGCATGCTGCCCTGAAAGGTCACCTTCTTCCACGCCTGCGGGTCTCACGGCACGCCGGCCGTGCGGCTGCCGTCACCCACCGCAGACGGTGGTGGGCAGTGCTGCCAGCTCAGTGAGACTTCGGTTATGGGGTCTGTGCCCCGTGGTTACGGGGAGCAACCACGGGTCCCCTCCCCCTCACTGCTCTGCTGTTGCCGTCTCTGACCAAAGGTGGCACAGGAGAGAGAAAAGGTTGTGAAACAGAGCTTTTTGGGTGCCCTTAAGAAAGTGTCACCCCACAGTAAGAAAATGCAGAGTAGACCCCCTTCCCCCTCCCTCCCTTCCACCCAGCCTGTGGGCCTTATCACCAGGAGAGGCTCTCTCTAGGCTCTGCAGACTCTCAGCCCCAAAGGCAGCTGAGCTTCAGTTTTGACGGTGCTGGGAAGTTCTACTTTTAATTGGGATTTCATGGACATTTTAATGGGAAGCTGCAAGATGCGCGGACTTCAGTGCTGTGTCACGCTGGAAATGAAGTGATGTTTTTATTACTTTGGTTTTGATCAACCTGGTTCCATTAACTTCGCGACAGTACTGGGGGACAGACGCCTCTCATTCTTCCAGAACAATTCAAGAGCTATCCGTTCTTAAACTGGTACGGCTTTTATTATCAGACGGTTTGGCAGCAGGTCTGTGACGGTTCTGATTCTGCGCCCCGTTGTGTGGAAGGAAGGGTGTGCCGTTATGAGCACGATAGAACAAATAGCGTGAAATCAGATTGAGCCTTGTATCCTGCCGGCACCTCTGGGGTATAACAGATGTGAGTCACGTACATCCCGTGTTGTCATTTATAAATGCGTCTCAAGGCACTTAACGTTGCTTGATCAGAAGTGCTCTTCTTTGAAGGTGCTGTCGGTGCTGAAGCATTCCTTGCTGTCCTTCAAACAGCCCCGAGTCCTGGACATGCTAAAACTTTACTTCCTGTTTTCTTTGCAGTTCCTGATGAAGGAGGTAGGTACCATGGCGCTTTGCTTTTTTGTGAAATAGGGTTGAGGCGGTCCAGATTTCTGGCCGTGCTGAACTAATTGTATTCTTTAGAAGGTCATATCCAATGATTAATGTTACTTATAAATATATAATTGTCAAAGTTGGGCTAGGCAACAGTTATCAATCTCTCTTATATTGGCATTACTTACTATATTAAACTGGCACCTAACAAGCTACTTATTCATTATGTGTTGAGTCAAACTAATAAATTGTTTTTATTCTTTAGGGCTATTTAGATCAAAAAGGCCATCCGATGGGGTTTGCAGGACTGGTATCACATTTGCATTATCACGAACCTTCTAATCTTGTTTTTGTGAGCTTTCTTGTAAAAGGCCTTTTCCATAATCTCTGCCAGCCAGCCAGGGAAGGTAAGCTGGAGGTTCCTTACGTATATAATCCAAAAATTGTGACAGATTTACAGAAAGCTAGTACTTCCGGAATATTTTTTCTACAAAGAAAATGGAGTTAATGTACAGATCATTTACAGATCTCCAAATTGATAAAATAAATTTAAATGCCTACTAATATAGATTATATGCGAGACCACCCAGTTTTGACCACTCAGAAGTTGTGTAAGAGGAGCAATGATTTGTGGCATCAAGGAGGACAATTTGGTTTATTGCTGTTGGGAGGGCGGGTGGTGCATGTGGTTATAATAAACAGGGGTATGGAAAATTTGATAATATTATGAAGCAGATAATATGACTAGCATCATTTTGTAAATGAGGAAACTGAGGCACAGAAAAGTTAAATAAATTTCCAAAGTGTCTCACACTTTTAATAAGTCAGAAGCAAGAGTCAACTATAAGCAGTCTGACTCTAGGTTCTTAGTTATTAAATGCAGCAACTTTTTAACCACGACGCTATAGTACACACGTATTGTCAGGAGTAAAGTAACTAACCTTGATGGTGACTTTAGTATGAGTGGCAGGAAGCTAAGACAGAGAGAGAAGGCTAGGTTATTTGGGAGCTAAATTTTGGAAAGCCTTAAATGTTAAACTAAGAAAATTGCATTTTGTTTACAAAGCATTGAGATTTCATCAGAGATTTTTGAGTAGGTGAGAGACATGTTCATAAAATTCTTTAGGATGATCATAGTGACCATCCACCAAGAAAGACTAAAGACATGAAGATCTAGGTAAAGAGATAAGGCAATTTGTGCTCTGGATGACCAGGACTGAACTAGGCTGGAGGTGGCAAGAATGAAAAAGAAGGCATGGGTGAAAACTGTCAGTAGATATGCTAGTTCCTCCGTTGCTATATTTGTAATAAATTTTTTAGTTTCCACAAAATGAAATGTAATGTAAAATTCCGTTTGAGCATGAAAAAATAGAGTTACATGTTTTTTCCCCACATTTACAAGAAGACACTTTGCTCCATGTAGGCTCAAAACGTTTTTCGGAAGATGTCATGGAAACGCTCGCGTTAGTGCTGGCTCATCTCTTTGGAAGACGACACCTTCCACCAAAGTTCCAAGATGCTGCCGTCAAGTTTTATCAATCAAAGGTGAAATGCACGACTCTGACAAAATCTGATAATTACAGTCATCAAATGGATCCTACCAGAAATGATTCAGCAACAGTAGGATTTTTATTAAGACAGGAATAGTCATGTGTTTTATAGAATCATTTGTTCTTTTTGTAATCAGTGTGATAATCTGTAATTCATACATCTCCCTCAGTAAATCCATCAAAAGTTTAGAGTCCTGGAGGAAAAATACAATCAAAGTTTCACCCATATTTTTCATCTGGTTGTATCAAATCACAATAAGTGACTTAAGAAAAGATTTCAGTGAAACAACTGAGGATACACTTCCCTTAGGATCCTTTTACCTTGATGCAGGACTACGGACAGGAAGTACGTTGTGAACTGTCATGTTTTCACTGAGAAAATATTAGAATATTCACCTAAAAAATCAATCTCAACTCACAGAGACCAGAAGCAAGAAAACTCTTCCGGTCTCACTCGCAACCTGCGGCATTTTCTTGGCTGTGATTCCCTGTCATTACATCAACATCAGCTGCCGTTACCAGGCACTTCCCAGGATCTGAGAAAGTGCGGCAGGCTGGCTTATGCCGGACAGCCTTAGTGCAAAGGGGCTATGGAACAGAGAGAGGAGAGTTCATCTCTGTTGTCGAACCCCATGTTGAATTGCAAATCTATGTCCTCATAGAATGTCCCCTAAATCAGCGAGCACAGCTTTCGTTGTTTACCCAGCATCTTCACACTTTTTCACTACATGTGCATTCTTGAAATATCGTTTAATTGTTCTGTTTAAACAAATTATATTTAACTTCGACAAGTCACTATCTCTATTTTTAAAAACAAGATCATCATAAATATAAATATAATAAGATTGTAAGTGGAGGCCTGCTGTCTCTTATTTTCTTAAAGATCGCTGGAAATTGGTCCACTTCCATTTGGATACAGTAGGTGGCCGTCACTCCTAGGGCAACAGAGAGCTGTGGAAGCAATGAGCGCTAGATGTGCTAAAATCGCACAGTGGCAAGGATGACTCCAAAATGTGTTAGGGCTCCCCAGCTGTAGGTTTTGTTTCAGAGATTTGTCAATGTTGGAGATGGGTTGAAAATTGGGTTTAGCATTTGCAGAGGGTCTCTTCGGTGAGATTTAAAAAGCCTAATAAAATTTGTCAGCAATTACATAAGGCTGAAGTCACAGACTAGCACCTTGAGAGACTATAGATATGTAGAGGTTTCTCATCACAGGACATTTACCGGATAACAGGTCTGCATGAAATGTTGGGGTGCTACATCAAGAGAATTTAAAAAATAGTTGATAATTCCAAATGTTTTTTAGCATGTATTAAACAAAAAACTCACTCAAGGAAAGTGAGTCTGGGTCTGCCTTTATGCATAAGGCTTGTACCCCCTCAAGACATTTTTTAATCCATCTAGGGCTAGAAGATTAAAATGTAGGCTAGGAAGTGCTACAGGGAAAAATGTGCCTTTTCAGTAATCTTTTAGCACTGAAAAAACTGAGACCAACCAACCTCACTCTCAAAATGTTCCTAGTGAACAGAGAACTAGAAACCTAGGAACAGAGACAAAGCAGGTATAGACTGAGGCTTATTCAAACTGCAAACCAGTATCAACCCACTTCATTCTGTGCTTGGAATGATGTGGTCACAACTCATTCCTGTGGCCAAACAGAAAAATGAGGAACTCACTCTGGTGAAAAATAACATCTAAAGCCTGTGAAGTCCTTTATAAATAATTTCTGGTGCACAAACAAAACAAAAACAAAAACAAAGCCTAAGAAGTTAGTAAGCATGAATATATGACCAATCAGCAGGAAGAAAAGCAGGAAATAATACTAGACCCATAGATGATTCATAAATTAGAATTAACATACAAGGACTTTAAGTATGATTAATATGTTAAAGAAAATAGAGGAAAAGAAAGACAAAATTGACAAAATCATGGAGATTTTTGCTAGACACTTAGAATGTTTAAAAATTAAATCAACATACTAGAATTGAAAAATACAACATCTGACTATCACAATATACATGCAGAAGTCAAAATCAGTAAACAGACAGCTTGATAGAAAGTGTCCAAATTGTAATATGGAGAGAAAAAATAAAATTATATAGAGAAAAAATAAAAATAAAATCAAGAGACATGGATCACACTCAGAAAGCTTAATGTATATGTAATGGGAGTCCCAGGAAAAAAGCAGGGAGAAAAATGGCAGAAAAGTATTCAAAACAGTAGTACCTGGAAATTTTTCAACAGTAATAAGAGACAGCACACCATAGTTTCAAAACCTTAGTCAAGTTCAAGAAGGATAAATATAGAGAAATATTAAACTAAAACTGCTGAAAGCTACAGAAAGTAACCTTCCAAACATAAATCAGCTAGGGCAGAAGTGACACTTCTTCCTTCAAAGAAACAATAATAAGAATGACAGCTGACTTTTTAATTAAAATAATGGAAGTTGGTGACAATGGAACAAATATTTTTAATGTGTTCCATAAAGTAACTTCTAACCCTGAATTCTACATTTAGTGGGCATAGTCTTCAAAATAAAGATGAAATTAAGATGTTTTCAGACATTAAATCTGAGTTTATTCACTGCTATCATATCTGCAATAAAAAATCATATACTTTAGGCATATTGATCAATGACAGACTATACATATGACCGTAGTCCCCTCAGATTATAATATTGTATTTTTACTGTACCTTTTCTATGTTTAGATACACATATACTCACCATTGTGTTACAATTGCCTACAGTACTCTATTGAGTAACATGCAAGACAGGTTTATAGCCCAGGACCAATAGGCTATACCATATAGCTTAGGTATGTAGTAGTCTATACCATCTGGATTTGTGTAAGTATAGTCCGGTCTCCACACAATGAGAAAATTACATAATGACACATTTTTCAGAATGTATCCCTGTCATTAAGCAATGTATAACTGTATATACAAATCACGTCTTAGCTATAAAATCTCAGAAAGGTTTAAAGTAGAATGAAGAAAAAAGATATATCAAGTAAATACTAACCAGAAGGAACAGAAATACCTCAGTTGACTGAAAATTAAAAAAAAATTAATTTCTAAATCCACATATGATAAAAAATAAATAAATGAAAATTATAAAATATTTAAAATTAAATAATAATGAAGAAAACATAAAAATACTTGTAAGTGGTAATTTATGCAATGCTTAGAGGAAAATTTATAATCTTTTTTTTTTTTTTTTTTTTTTTCACGTCAGACGGGTAATGTGCCGATGTCGTAACAAGGTTTGAGGGAGGCACATCTCACGCATGCGCGTGAAAACCCAATCATCACGCTTATGAACTACAAAAGGATCAGGAAAATTTATAATCTTAAAATCATATATTAGAAAAGAAGACAGGCTGAAAAGAAAAAAACAGTGATATAAACTTTCAGCTTAAGAGGCTAAGAAATAAGTAAAACAAACTGGAAACTCTAACCTGAGGTAAATAGAAGGAAAGAAATAATAAAATGAGAACAATATAAAGCAAATTGAAAATGATTATACAACAAACCCTAAGTTGTTCTCTATATAGAATAATAACATTGATTAATATTTAGCAAGACTCATTAAGAATGAGAGGGGGGAAAGCACAAATGTCAGAAAAGAAAATGGGACATTACTACAAATCCTACACAGTCTTGGGAAGCAGAAGATTGAATTCAAATCATATAAAAAGATAAAAAGAATAGCACCTTTTCATTGACTCTTTGTGTTAGTCTGTTTGGGCTGCTATCACATGGCAATGCCTGGGTGGCTAACAGGTAACAGTAATTTATTTCTCACCTGGATTCAGGTGTCTGGCGGGGACCCGCTTCCTGGCTCGGAGACGATTGTCTTCATGCTACATTTATGGCAGAAGAAGCGAGGGAGCCCTTGGAGGTCTCTTTCATAGGACACTACTGTCATTCATGAGAACTCTGCCCGCATCTACCAAAGTCCCCACCACCTCGTGCCATCAAATGGGGGTTAGAATTTCAGCATATGAATTTTGGGAGATATGAACATTTGGTCGATAGCACTCTTCTGGATAAAAAGAGAGAATATTTCATCTTTCTAGGATTAAAACTTAGCTTTACTATCAAAACCTGGCCAAGACTTTAGAGAAATAAAAATCAGAGATGCATTGAACATAGATGAAAAAATAATTAACGAAATATTAGCAAAATGAACCCAGTGAGGTCTGAAAGACCCTCACAACCAAGTGACAATGATTCTAGATTTGCAAGTGTGTTTTGTTTTGTTGCTGGCTCCTTAAACGTGTCCCTAGCTTTGAAATATTCACAAGTCTAATGTCATTTTAGGACAGACTTCTATTTATAAGGCGGTTTTGATTAAGCATGTCAAAGCAAAGTTTTAAGAGTCAAGAGTAAGGTATCTGTTTTTATAAATGCAAATGGAAACACTGAATGGATTTTACTTCTATTTCACCAATGAAAGAATAAAACAGTGACATCATCGAATAAATAGACAACTGTAGAGTTATATTGTTATGTTCTTTAACTTTCTTCTTCCAAATATTCAGTTTTTAAGGAAGGTATATACGTCTCTCTGAAACATGTCTGGCTTCCAGGTGTTCCTGGACGATCTTCCTGAGGATTTCCACGATGCTTTAGGTGAATACAACAGGAACGTGACAAAGGACTTCGCCAGTTTCCTACTCGTTGTTTCCAAATTGGCTGACATGAAACAGGAATGTCAGCTCCCACTGTCAAAAATCAGTGAGTATATTTTATCTCCGTTGTGGATCATGTTGAAGAATAAATAGTCTTGCCTATAAGAATATTTTCTTCTCTAAAGAAGAGTGGAGCCCCAGAAAACGCAGCCTGCCTTTGAATGAGGCTCCCGCCTGCGCTTGTTACATGTTAAAAGGGCGTTGTATCGTATCTGTTTGTTGTTTCCTTGAATCTCAAGGCAGTTGAGCTCTAGACTTGGACAGATAGGAGCTCAAATTGAAGCTTCACCCTTTACTTAACATATGGACTTAACGTCGTATACTTTCGTATCTTATTCAGTAAAAGTCTGAAATAAATGCTCCTAGACATCCAAGACTGAATGTCAGGGAGGAGTAGGGGATGTGAGTTGGTGGAGGAGTATAGAAGAATGAGTGTTCTGCCATCTTCAATCTGTATTGATAATTACCAGTGTTGTGCGAATACTGCTTCTCAGTCATGCGAAAGAAGAAAAGAACATGCAGGGTCAAGTGTGAAAGTTATTTGTGTTAATCACATATCACTTCGGTTCATTATTTCATAAGCTAAAATTTAATTACATGACCATTGTCTGACTGTAAGGAAGGCTGAGACTATATTTGACCATGTGGTGAGGAGGAAGAGAATGTGGATTTCTTGAAGTCTTTGCCCCAAGGTGATAGAACGTTATCACACAGAGCTATATTGTAGATTAAATGACACAATCATGTAAGGTTCAGTATTCATTGTGTAGGGGCTAAAAAATATTTGGTATTATTATTAATGTCAGTGCTACCGTTCTGAACTTAATTTCTCATTGTAGAGCTTTTAAGTCGTGAGAGAGACTGTAAATGGGTTAAATATTTACTCTTTCCCCAGAGAGAGCCTGAACATTTCTTTTCGGATAAAATTTTCTTATTTTGGTGTAATGAAAAGAGAATGAACTTTAGAGTTATACTAGCTAGATATTAAATCTCTACTTTCTCATTTAATACCTCAGTAACTACAACTAAATAAATTATTATTGAATATCTAAAAAAAAAAAAAAGAAAGAAAGAAAAAGAAAAAGCAGTGGAGGGTGAAATGAGTAGAGTCTTCCACGGCCGTCCTGCTAAAGGCGGCCCCTGGGTCCAGCCTGGAGAACAGAGTGAGGCCGTCTGCAGGACAGAGAGAAACTGGAGACCAATCCTGTCCCTCTTAGTCTCGAGAGGAAACAGACTTGGTCTTCATGAGCACAGACAAGCATCTTCCCTGTTTCCTGGGTCCAAACCTTGGCTCTGCTGCTATTACCGTGTTTCCCCGAAAATAAGACAGGGTTTTATATTTATTTTTCCTCAAGAAGACACCCTAGGGCTTATTTTCAGGGAACGTGTTATTTTTTTTAAGTACGGTACAACCATCTACATTGATTCAAATATAGTGAAGTCATCTTCTTCTGGAACATCATCCTAACACTCCAAACCCCGAATTTTATCCTGAATTTCTTGTGACTCTGTTTCCTTTAGAGCCACTGGCCCCGATCTCTCCTGTGGAGCACTAGAGCTCTCACGGGGCGGATGAGAAGGGCTGCTCGTGTTCTTTCCCGCTCCGCGACGACACGCACGGGTCGTGCAGACGCGCTGCGCAGCCACGCCCGCCACTAGGGCTGATTTTCGGGGTGGGCCTTCTAATCTTAGAGATCCTGCTGGGGCTTATTTTATGGGTAGGACTTATTCTCAGGGAAACGCGGTAGCAGCGAGATCCTGGGCAAGTGACTCCGTAGTCATGCTTTAGTTTTCTCTACAGATACACGAGAAAGAGAAATAACATCATCTACCTAGTTTTGGAGAGCTTTACACGATGGAGTTAATATATATATTTTTAAATAGTGCCTGGCACATGGCTAACACTGTCAGTGTTTACTCGGACTTATTTTTTCATGAGCTACTAGGTAGAAGCCTCCTAACGGGGTGTAGACAGCAGAGGTGGCTGAGAGAAGGGAGCGGTCCAGCTGCGGGCGTCCCTCCTGGTCTCCCCGAACCCCGACAGCTGCAGGTGGGACACTCAAGGAGGTGGAGCGTTGAGCTTCCGGGCCCTGTTAGAGTAGGAAGTGGCACGACAGCAGGCGGGCGTGGGGCGCCGTGACCGTCATAGATGAGGGGACCGGGGTGCCTGTGACTGTGATGCCTCAACTGCACACTAGAACCCGGTTTGAGTGTGCAACTCAGTGCTTCGTAAGAGTCTAAGTGGGGATATATTTCGGCTCCTGTGCCATTTCCGAACCTGCTCATCGCGGCCGCTCAGTTCCGGGAAAGATGCTGAGGCCGAGTGTGAGGTCAGTGAGAGAGAGCAGGAAGGCGATATCCATCTTTCTGCGTTAAAAGAACACGCAACTTAAACCTGGCGGTGTATTCCCGCCGATCAAGGCAACTGAACTAGAACGCGAGTTTCTGTAGCCCTGGTGCTGCCGTGCGTAGCTAGCTCCCACGGGCGCGGGCCGGTGGCTGCGGCCGGGCCGGGCCGCACGTGTCGGGCCGGGAAGCGCGGCGGCTGCCCTGTAGCCCGCGCGGGGCAGGTGCGTGAGGCCCCGCTACTGGGCCGATGCTGAAACCGCGTCTGTCCCCGTGTGTGGCGGTCAGACTTCACAGGTGCAGACTGTGCGGACTCCGAGCTCGTGCCCCACCTGATGAGCTGCGGGAAGGGCAGGAGGGCCATCTCGCCCTTCGTCTGCCTCTCCGGGATCTCCGACGAGGACCTGCTGGAGCCGGGAACGCCAGACCACGTAAGTGAAGACGGGCTGGTTCGTCAGGGGTGTTCGGGCAGGGATGGATTCAGACGCGGCCGGGCGGCTCGTAAGGACTTCACATTTCCCAGAGCGAGAAGAAACAGAAAAAATCCAGGTGCTGTCAGTACGAATAGCTAGGGCCTGGTGGTCTCGGAGCCATCATGATTTCAGTTTCTCAGGGCTGGCCTGAGAATGTTCTGGAGAGTTCCGAGGGACCACTACTTTTCTTCCATCTTCGAAGACTCCGAGATTAAGACAGCCTTGCTGTGGGAATAGCGCACAGAACTCCGCCTGCCGGCTTCCTGGGAACAGCTCCGGACGCCGCGAATGTCGTTCATCCGGCGTCTAAAACGGAGGGCAAAGAGCTAGGCACGCTTGGAAGGTCCTGGATAATCCCTGGAGTGTTGGAATCAGCTTGTAGACGTTTAATTTATGTTTTAATACAAAATCTGAAATAGAAAATACATTTTATTACATTTGATATTACGGATCGACACCGGGGTCTTAACTCCATTTTATGCCAAAGTCAAGTAGTCCTCTATCAGGTCCTGCAGTCCTGTGTCATTGAAAATAACTTTGAAGAACTCCATACAGCTTGTGCATTTTAAATGAACACATACATTTTTTTTATCTTAAACTTAAATAGTTTCTAATGATATAGTTTCCAGTTTCAAATAAATGTTGGGGTGTTAAAATGAAACCATCACATCATTCTTTGAATTATATAACATGGAACATAAACAGTGTTTTCACAGCCATGCCATCCAGTTAAAAACAAATCAGGAATATGTTTTTTTTATAAGGATTTAAAATTTTGTGAGGTTCGTTTTTTTCTTGAACTCACATTTTCTTGCCACCTTTCCCCACATAATTTTATTTTAATTTAACACATTTTTACCATGCAGTCATTCTATCTATGATACTCTCAGCCAAAGTAATACGTTCCAGTTTAATGTTTATATCCTGTTGATCAGAGCAAGCTGAATATAGTACAAATTTTTGCCAGTAATTACTAAAAATAAAATTACTATTATATTATAGATGCGTATCTTTACCGTGATGGATGAGGTCATTTCTTTTTTTTTTTAGGTAGATCTGATAGCCATGGGTGAATGTTACTTATTACTAGAATGAGACAGGGCTGCCCTAACCTTGTCCTCGCTGTTTCACGCCATCCGAGCTCCCCGCGCCTGTGTCCCCTGTCTTAGTCTCCTGCCTCATGCACACATGAATGGCAAGCTAAGAAGGACCGTATTTCTCCAGGTCACCCTGCACACAATTGGTGTCAACGGCATTCGGGCTCCTGTGCTGTGTGCAGAGAGGTTTGATGGCCGTGGGAGAAGAATGCCTCTGAACGCCTACGCCCTGGATTTCTACAAGCATGGCTCCCTGGTGGGGCTAGTCCAGGACAACGGGTATGTCCCCGATCTGTGTGTGTGTGTCTGTATCTGTCTGTCTCGGTCCCCTCTGCTTCCCTTCCCTTTCTCTCCATCTCCATCTCTAACGAACAAATTTAGTCAACTTTAAGGAAAAAAGGCTCTGTACGGTTTCAAGTATGGGTTAGTTGTGATAAACCTACTGGATTTTTTTCTTAGAGACTAATGGTGAGAGAGGGGGTACCAAATTCAGTATGATTTTTGTTTGTGTTTCACCAGCAAAATCATGGTACTTGGGCCAGCTCACTTGACCCGAAGCTATGTTCAAAAGGCATAAATATTTGCATATGTTCACAGTTATTTTTCCATCCTATTTATTCACTGCTAGATATTTTAAAACGGAGTAACAAATACTGCCATGCTCTCCAGTATCTGAGAAGAGTATACATAAAGTATATAATTCCCACACCTGAGGACTGAGTCGTGACTGAGGCCTGAACTCTGATCTTTGTCTTTATCCCAAAAATTCCTTTCTAAGGGGGCCCGGAGAATCACGCTTAGAAATGATAAAATCTCAGTAAACAGGTTTTTATGATGTGGTTTGCTTCCCAACCTGATTCCATTATAGCATCACATGAAAGATCGAAGACCCTTATCTTAACTCAAGCGTTCCTTTCTACTGATTCCTAGTCTTTTGGACAAAGCCTAACTCTTTCAGCCAATTGTCAACTAAAGAATTCCTAAACCCACCTATGACTTATAAGCTCCCTCTTCAAGATGGCCTACCTTTTTGGACCAAAACAATGTGAACCTGCCATGTATTAATTTATGACTTTACCTATAACCCCTGTCTCCCTGAAATGTATAAAAACAAACTGTGACCCAACCACAGCGAGTCCACTTGCTCAAGCTTCTTGGGCATGGCTCTGGGCCATGGTCTTCAACTTTGGCTCAGAAATAAACCTCCTTAAATTATTTTACAGAGTTTTTCTTCTTTTCCATTGACATGACGATTCATTGCTTTAGCTCTTTGCCAGGGAAACCATCTTCAGAAATGGCTAGCAGGGTAAACACTCTTGGATTACCTGGGAGTGAGAAGTTGACCCAGGCACTGAGTACTGGATGTGGGAGGGACACTCTGTCATAGCAAGGCAGGAATTCAATCTATTTTCACACAAAAATCTGAGCATTCCTTACTGAATTAAGGTATTTAAAAGGTCTGATACTCTCCAGAAACGTTGGAAATTTTTTTTTTTTTTTTAATGTGGCTCGTTGTGCATTAAAGTCACTTTGACATCAGGGAATGACATGTCTGGTTCTTCCCATTTGATCCTCTAGTTCCCATCCGCCCTGCTGAGCTTCCCGATTTCAGTTTTCTCCCAGAGGGTCAGCCTCTTCCCTCTCGAATCCATAATCATCATGACCGTCGATCACACCAGCACCTGGGCGTCCGTGGCAGAAATGACGTTGGGAACTACATCTTGACAGACAAAAGTAGCCTACGGTGGACAGATCCAACAATTAAATATAAAATAAGGAACTCTTGGTCTCATGTCTAATTTTCAAAACGCTGTTTTATTTAGGATGAACGAGGGAGAAGCTTACAATTTGCTGAAAGATTTTGCACTCACCATCAAAGCTATCAGGTGTGTTGTATATTTAAATATTCATTACATTTTTTTTTATTTCAGCATATTATGGGGGTACAAATTTTAAGGTTTCAAATAATGCCCTTTCCCCCACTCCCCCCACAAGTCTGAGTTTCCAGTGTCACCATGCCCCAGATGGTGCACATCTCACTCATTATGCATGTATATACCCGCCCCCCTCCCCCCCACCTGCCCAATACCCTATTACTGTAGCACCTATGTGTCCACTTAGGTGCTGCTCAGTTAATACCAGTTTGCTGGGGAGTACATTTGGTGCTTGTTTTTCCATTCTTGAGATACTTCACTTAGTAGAATGGGTTCCAGCTCTAACCAGGAAAATACAACAGGTGCTATATCACCTTGTTTCTTAGAGCTGAATAGTATTCCATGGTATACATGTACCACATTTTATTAATCCACTCTTGGATTGATGGGCACTTGGGCTGTTTCCACAGCCTTGTAATTATGAATTGTGCTGCTATAAACATTCGACTGCAGGTGTTTTTTTTTTTTTTTTTCTGTAGAGTGTCATTGGGTCTTTTGGTTAGATGCCCAGCAATGGGATTGCTGGATCAAATGGTATATCTACTTGTATCGCTTTAAGGTATCTCCATATTGCTTTCCACAGAGGTTGAACTAGTTTGCAGTCCCACCAGCAGTGTAGGAGTGTTCCTATCTCTCCTCATCCATGCCAGCATTTATTGTTTGGGGACTTTTTGATGAAGGTCATTCTCACTGGAGTTAAGTGATATCTATTGTGGTTTTGATTTGCATTTCCCTGATGATTAGAGTTGTTGAGCATTTTTTCATGTTTGTTGGCCATTCTTCAGTCTTTAGAAAAGGTTCTGTTCAAGTCCTTTGCCCAATTTTTGATAGGGTTGTTTGATTTTTTCTTGCTGATTTTCCTGAGTTCGCTGAGTTCGTGAGTTCGCAAGTATATTCTAGTTATCAGCCCCTTATCAAATGTATAGGATGCAAAAATTTTCTCCCATTCTGTAGGTTGGCTGTTTACTTTCATGACTATTTCTGTATCCTGCAAAACTAAGCTTTATATATGCAGGATAAATTAAGACATTATCAGATAAGCAAAGTCTCAGAGAATTCACCAAGACAAGACCAGCCCTACAAGAAGTATTAAAAACAGTGTTACACACAGAACAGCATAATAAAAACTCACAGATATAAAAACAACCAAAACCCAAAGACTGAAGGCCAGTTATTACAATGGCTCAAGAGAGAAATCAAAGCAAAAACATTCAACCCAAAAGAATGAACAGTAATCTACCTTATCTATCAGTTCTCTCAATAAATGTGAATGGCTTAAACTCTCTACTCAAGAGACATAGACTGGCTGAATGGATAATGATTTCATGTTTTTTAATGATTTAATTGTAACTTGAAAACTACTGAGCTGTCGCTGTGGGCCAGGCTCTCGAACGTGCACCGAGTTTCTTGTGTGCTGTGTGTCTCAAGTCCCCAAAGGTTCTGCAGAACTTCTCAGCACCATGCTGTACTATCTCTACAACAGAATTAGCTCCAAAGTCCATTGTGAGGTGAAGTTCCCTTTGGACTAGATTCTGAATATTCCAAAACTCAGTGATCCCAAGACCCTGGTGTTCTAAATGGCCACACGCGGTGTGTCTCGGGTCCACAGTTCTTCAGAAGGTTCTCAGGGCTCCACCAGGTCTCTGGCTTATAAACACATACTGTGTTTCCCCGAAAATAAGACAGGGTCTTGTGTTTATTTTTCCTCAAGAAGTCACCCTAGGGCTTATTTTCAGGGGATGTGTTATTTTTTTTAAGTACGGTACAACCATCTACATTGATTCAAATATAGTTTAGTTGTCTTCTTCTGGAACATCATCACAACTCTCCAAACCCCAAATTCCATCCTGAATTTCTTGCGACTCTATTTCCTTTAGAACCACTGGCCCCAATCTCTCATGTGGAGCACTAGAGCTCTCATGGGGCAGATGAGAAGGGCTGCTTGTGTTCTTTCCCGCTCCTCGACAACATGCACGGGTTGTGCAGATGTGCTATGTAGCCACGCCCATCACTAGTGCTTATTTTCGGGGTGGGGCTTCTATTGTGCACATGCTTAGAGATCCTGCTGGGGCTTGTTTTATGGGTAGGTCTTATTTTCAGGGAGACACAGTACAACACGTCTGAGTCTCTTGCTTTGTCCCAGCTTTTTCCAGGCGTCATCTGACTGTCATCGCTCACGTGGCGTCCCTAGCAGAACACCCGGGACCCACGGACAGCAAACTGTGCACGGGTCCTCCCACCCTGAGGCTGGGCTGGCCGGTCACTGTCCTCGAGTTCCATCCGTCCTCCCAGAACCCCTAGCCTGGGTGTACTTCCGCGCGTTGTATGTGCTCCGGCGTGCTGTCACATACGCACGTTTAATTTGCCGTCAGTCCCTGCAGTATCGGGGTCTTGCTAATCTGGTCATTTTTTTTTTTTTTATTTCTTTGATCTGAGTTGAATCAGGCCTGCTTGGACTTTTTATCCAGAAAGTGAAACTTTGGGGGCACTAGAGCAGAAGGGACCCCCTTTGTCCTCCTGGCGTGCCCCACACAGGGTCGTCCTCGAGGGCTCGTGGCCACCGGAGCCATAATCTCCAGAGTAGTCCAAGGAACGCCGGAGGCTGGGGCGCCGTCTCAAAGACTGGCTGAGAACCGTCTTCCACTCGGGCCTTCTTCTAACAAGTGTCGAAGTGATGTCGGTTCGTGACACACTTCTAAGCACGTTGAGGCAGCGGGAATCCTTCAGTCTATCACTGCTTCGAAAAAGCAGGGAGCTGACCAGCAGGTGGGGGCAGATCCAGGGGAGACAAAGTCCACCTGGGCTCAGAGTAGCCTCCCGTAGCCTTTTGGCTACGTCGTGAGAGGCAGAGGGAGTGGTGCTTTCAAAGTGCACCAGTGAGAAAGGCCAGATGCGTCAGGAATAGGCGTTGAGCTCTCTCTGTGACATGCGGGATTTGAGTGTCGGGACAGAACTGCTGCGTCCCCATAACGGACTTCGAATGGAACCTGGGTCTAGCTGTGCTTTAGGGAGGGCCTTTGCTGTCATGTCGCACCACGGGGCTGAGTTTCACATGTTGAGCAATTGTAGACAGTGCACAAGCACGCGTGTGGCACAGGCCTGTGGCTTGTGCACGTGGCGTGGGGCACGGGCCTGTGGTTTGTGCATGTGGCATGTGGCACAGATCTGTGGTTTGTGCACCTGGCGTGTGGCATAGATCTGTGGTTTGTGCACCTGGCGTGTGGCACGGGCCCGTGGTTTGTGCACCTGGTGTGGGGCACGGGCCCGTGGTTTGTGCATGTGGCGTGTGGCACAGATCCGTGGTTTGGGCACATGGCATGGGGCACAGACCTGTGGTTTGTGCGTGTGGCGTGTGGCACGGGCCTGTGGCTTGTGCACGTGGTGCCGATGGCACCTGGTGCCGTCACCCAGCGCAAACAGGCCACCCCACAGCCTTGGAGCTCAGACGTCCTCAACGTGTCCCACGGGCGCCATCCAGCCGTCAGCAGGGGTGGCATTCCCGTGCCGAGCCACGAGGGGTGGCCTGTCTCCTTGCTGTTTCCTACTCTCAGGGGCCGCTGCCGTCCCTTGCCCGGGGCTCCCTTCCTTCTGTCTCCAAAGCCCGCCGCGGTGGCCTCACTCTGCCACTGCCCTGCCTCCCTGCCCACCCGTGGGGACCTTCGAGATCACGCTGGGCTGCCCCAGTAATCCAGGGTCGTTCCCCACCTTGAGATGGGGACGTGTCTCCCCTGCCGGCCTCTGCCGTGACCTGGCGCGGCCGCGCCCTCCAGGCACTGAGGCGCGGGCGTCTCCGGAGGGAGGCCTTGTTCTGCCTCCACGTCCCGCTGCCCCTCGTTCCTCGCACCCCTGAGCAACGAGAGGGACGGCTTCCTCCCCACGGAGGCGGCGCCCGGGGGTTTCGGTGCCCGCTGGGCGCAGCAAAGTCCCCAAATGGCCCCGTGAGGGACGTGCGGAGGAGAGAAAAGGAACCCGGGTCGGCCACTGCAGGGCAGAGGGGCCCAGTGACGCGGTGTTGGTGGCCTTTCGAACCCTCTTGGTGACAGGCGTGGAGAAGAACTGCTCGGGGGTCGGTCGTCCCGCTATCTTTTCTGAATGTTTTTTTGTACAAGATTTTTTTTTTTTAGAATAAATTGTTTCTTACCCTTATTCCTCATGTGTCACTCCCATGATCTCATCGTCCGATTGGACTCACTGGCTGCTGCCCACCCCGGGAAAGCCCTCCTCGCCACACTGCCGCCCGCTAACACGGTCGTTCTGTCTGTGTCCCCCATCTGCAGCGTCTCCTTGCATGAGCTGTGTGAGAACGAAGATGACAACGTTGTCTCGGCCTTCGAACAGCTCAGCGAAACCTTTGCTGAAAAACTAAGGAAAGTATGAAAACGAAAAGTCCATGCAAACCACTGAAAATACTGCCGCTGGAGTCTCATGAGTCATATTTTGGATTCCCGTGCCTTTTTTTTTTTTGAGAAACATAAACGACGCTGAGGAAAGAGCAAGTCTAACCGACGTGCGGGCACGCCTGCCCTGGTCTATGCCGGGCACCCGGTTATCTAGCGCATCTGAATGCCGGTTTCTTTCTGTAACTGAGTAATGGCAACGCTCACTTCTCGGGCTGTGTGAGGGGTGACTGGGAAAATGCAGGGATTCTGTGTGGGACTGAAGAAGAACTTTTACTCTGTGAGGTCTAAACAAATATGATGTTGTCAATATTTTTCTCCTGGGTGTCAAGATTTGTAAAAAGTTCATTAAGGCCAGGAAAGATGATTGCAGTGTCCTACAGGTGCACTGGCTTCTCTCCAATTAACATGAATGGGATTACATGACTTAGGTAAATGGCTACTGAAATAGCGCCTTTTAGTATGCTTAAACTGAGTTTTAAAAATATAGATGAGAGTTTTCGTTCAGACTTTGTGATGCTTTAAAAGAGAACACATAGTTGACAATTCGCTTTATTTTAATTGTATGTAAGTTCCTGGGAAAACACAAAGAAATAAAATGGGCTTAATTTATTCACCGTTGGTCTCGCTGCGTTAAATCTACGTGCCTGTCAGTCCACTTGCTCACGTCTACGCGTTACATATATGACAGTTTACATATAACCATCTTCCCTTCCCAGCCTCAGACAGATTGCAGTTCTAGAATCTACTTTGTTTTATTTATTTATTTTTTTTGAGACAGTCTCGCTTTGTTGCCCAGGCTAGAGTGAGTGTCATGGTGTCAGCCTGGCTCACAGCAACCTCAGACTCCTGGGCTCAGGTAATCCTCCTGCCTCAGCCTCCCGAGTAGCTGGGACTACAGGCATGCGCCACTATGCCCGGCTAATGTGTTCTATATATATTAGTTGGCCAATTAATTTCTTTCTATTTATATAGTAGAGATGGGGTCTCGCTCTTGCTCAGGCTGGTTTCGAACTCCTGACCTTGAGCAATCCGCCCGCCTCGGCCTCCCAGAGTGCTAGGATTACAGGCGTGAGCCACCGCGCCCGGCCTAGAATCTACTTTAGACCCTAATCTTGAACATGCAGCCTTCCGTCCTCAGAGCAAAATGTCTGCTCTCTCCTGTCTCCCAGATGTACTGAAAGATGATCTTCTATACGACATTATTTATAAATAGATCACGATGGCTCAGAAAACACCCCTGTGGTTCCATTTGTCTGGGAGGGGATGGGGCTGACCCATCCTCTGATGCTCACTGTGTTAGACGTCTCCGCGTTCTCTGGGCTAACCTCAGTTCTTCACAGTAAGTGCTGCAAGAATGTAGGAGCGCCAGCACTCTTAGGAACTGAGGGTTCCTATGCTCCCCGGGCCCCCGCCCCGGGCTCCACGCAGAGCAACGGTGCACAATGCCAGTATCTTGTCGTGCTGGCCTCCACCCCCCTCTTGTAGTTTCCTGAGTCTGATTGAGACATCAGGAGTTTTTTTTTTTTCCCATATGACTAAACCAATCTGGCTTTCTAATTTTTAAGAGGAAAATAAGATTTTTTTTTTGCAATTTGGAATCTTCTTAACCACTGCGGTACGAGCATCGACTACAGTCGACAGCCACAGGTGAACGCGCATCGACTGTAGCTGACAGCCGTGACATGACTTTTCTAATTTTTCATTTATCAAAATAAAATTGTGAACATTTAAAAATAATGTAGTGAAAACATATATGTCTATGTTACCTGTTCTGAATTGTGTGACAAGTAAAGCTGCCTGGAAAGTAAACAAGCTTTCAGTGCTCTCAAGCTTTCCTCATCACACACGAGCAAGACGGACGCGTCGTCCATGCGCAGCACAGACCGCCGTGCGGCTGCGGGCCAGGTTTCTCTGCCGGTGGGCGCCGGACCCAAGTGGTTAAGAGAGGCAAGTTATACCCGACCACCTTGAGCTTCCTTTTTGATTTTTACCAACAACTTCCAAGGGTTCCGTGGAACGCTTTGTGCAGAGCGAGTGTGCACAGGGACTCTGAATGCGTTTCACGTTCCATTTGCGGTGACAGAGTGGGGCGTTCCTTTTGTTTCTCATCCGCGTTGAGTAAATAAAGCGGAATTTTTCTTTCTGAGGAATGTGAGCAGAGACCCTTGTGAGATTCACTGGAGGATGATTATTGTGGCCACAATCTATTCCCATCCTTTTCCCAAGGGAAGGAAAGTAATGATAATTGAACCTCTGAAACCCACAGGCAGGGACAATCTCGAACGTGGACAGAGAAAGCCACACGCGACCAGTACAGGCGAATGACGGCGGGCTTCTCCTCTGCAGCCTCACGGCCAGAGGAAGTGCAATAGTTTTCCAAAAACTGACACATTAAAACAAAACAAAACAAAACAACTTGCCAATCTTAAGTTCTACACTGAGTGAAAATGCCCTTTAGGAATGAAGAGGACACAAAAACATTGTCCAGGGAAGGAAACAATGACGAGAATTCATCAGAAGCAAACCTGTTCTTCAGGAAAGGGCAGAGGAAGTCAGTTCCCTCAACAGAAAGGAAGTGATGAGCAAAGAAGGGTTGGGGCTTCAGAGAGCAAAGAAGGAGATCAGAGTGGGCAGAGAAACAGGGCTAACGGTACTAGAACATTCCTCTCGTGAGCTTCTGAAATCACATTTTATAGTGGAAGCAGAATTTTTAACGTCATCTGATGCGGTTCTCAGTGGATATGGAGGACATCTTTAAGACAGCTCTATGTAAGATGTGTGGAGGCAAAAGGAACCTGAAAACATGGTGATGAAACCTTGCTCACAGCAGAATGTGGCGGCGAGCTATATGAGTGTTTCCATGATTTGAACGTGTCTCCCAAATTTCATGTTTTGGAAACTTAATCCCCCAATTCATCATACACTGATAGTATTTGGAGGTGGGGCCTGATGCACGTGTTTTAAGCTAAGTGTTACCACAAAAGAGTCAAAAAGTTAAAAAAAATTTAAAAGTTTATAAAGTAAAAAATGATTACAGTAAGTGAAGGTTAATTTATTATTGAAGGCCGGGCACGGTGGCTCACGCCTGTAATCCTGGCACTCTGGGAGGCCGAGGTGGGAGGATCGCTCAAGGTCAGGAGTTCGAGACCAGCCTGAGCAAGAGCGAGACCCCCGTCTCTACTATAAATAGAAATTAATTGGCCAACTAAAAATACATAGAAAAAAATTAGCCGGGCATGGTGGCGCACGCCTGTAGTCCCAGCTACTCGGGAGGCTGAGGCAGGAGGATCGCTTGAGCCCAGGAGTTTGAGGTTGCTGTGAGCTAGGCTGACGCCACGGCACTCACTCTAGCCTGGGCAACGAAGTGAGACTCTGTCTCAAAAAATTATTATGAAAGAAAGAAAAATACTTTTGTGAGTTCAGTGTGGGCCGAGTGTGTGCAGTGTCTACAGAGGCTGCGGCACGACACGGCGGCGTCCCGAGACATGGCGGCGTCCTGGGCACACGGTGGCGTCCCGGGCCACGTCCGCTGGCCGCTCACCGACTGCCGCAGCGGCTTCCTCCTCCCGGCGCTCATCCGGGGTGAGTGCCCCGCACAGGCACCACTTTTCTTTGTCTTTTGTGCCGTATCTGTTTCTGTGTTCAGGTACACTCAGGTGCAGGACACTGGCCGCCGTGTTGGCTGCCCTCGGGGTTCAGTGGAGTCTCGCGTGCAGAGAAGAGGGGAGGCAGGGGAGGCTGGGCGACGCCGAGCAGCGGGGAGAATGCTTGAGCTCGCCTCTGTTCTGCACCTGGGAGGTGCGCGGGGCACCCGCGTCACCAGCGTGGGACGGGACGGGCGTCCGTGCTGGGAGTGGGACTTAGACCTCCTGCCCCAAGTCGCGGTGGGCACACCCTGTCTATGGGAGGTCGGCAAGGGTGTCCTGGCCACGCTCTGTGGGGGCCGTGCTGGGGGGAAGGGGTGCCTGAGGCCTTTACCTGTCTGTGGGGTCTGAGCGACACACAATGTTAGTGGCAGCCGTTCCTCTGCAAGGGGGGGTTGGGACACTCAGCCTCTGCCCCGACCTTCCCTTATGCTCAGGGAGTTTGGGCGGGTGGGGGCGGGTCCTGAGATTTTTATGTGTCTTTACAGAGCCAAACTGACAATAAATAGTAAAACACTGGATGCAGAGGGTGTGATCGCTCCCCTGCGGCCTTCCCACATGGCCCACCGTGCCCCTGGAGAGCCCGCAGCTCGGTTGCTGTTCACCACTTGCTTTGCTGCGGGCCGGCGTCACCACAAACACATTTATTGCCTTACCAGTCGCTAAGTCTTTTTTGTTTGTTTCCCTGCAGGCTAACTATGGGCGATGCCTTGCACGCAGTCGGAGTCTCTGCACCTGTGCTTCAGCCTGCCAGGTACAGACCCTTTTCTGCAGGTGGTGATTATAGAACCAGTTAAGCACAGGTGACGGGTAATTTAAACACTTCATTTTTTTCGGGATCTCACTAAGTGAATTATGTGTTGATGAAATGACCATGTTCTGTTGGCACTGAAACAACTGAACGAAGCATTCAGCGGAAAATTTTGGAGCAAACGAAGGCACTGACACTGTTAAACTTCGCCCACGAGCTGTGATCCCGGAAAACCGAGATAGTCGGGAACCCCGCCCCCGTCCGTGTTTCAGGAAACGGCTCACAGGTGGGTTTGTAAGGACGCCCTTTCTCGCGTGCCTTGGGTAAGACTCGCAGATTGCTGTCTCGCTTTCCTATGGCAGCGCCTGACGCACCCTCCAAATCTCTATTCTCTGTCTCAGAAGGGATCGGCCAAACCGGTGCCCCAGCGACCCATCCGGACAGAATTCCAGAGAGCTTGACTCCGCCAAAGTTTAGTCTGCTTCTCCCTCCCTCCCCATCCCTCCCCCCCTCCTCCCCTCCCCCTCCCTCCCCCCTCCCCATCCCTCCCTCCACGGCCCTACAGTTCTACCCACCTGAGCCCGAGTCCTGCTGGGCAGCTTCTCCGTAGCGCCCCCTGAAGGCCGCCTGTCGGCTTCCTCGGGTCTGCTGTCCCTACCCGCCGTCCAAGCTCCCGTCAGCGTAACTCAGAATATGGACCAGGATGTTCCCAGGTGAGCCCTCAGTCACACCACACGGCCATCCCACGCCCCGTTCTTTCTTATTTACTCGTTCCTATAACAGGCACATCCGCCTCTGGCCAGACGGATGCCCCGCAGATCTGGGGGTCAGAGCGCCTGCCTGTCGTGACGCCCCCCATCCCGATGACCTCCCCATGCCCTGCTGAACAAGCCTTCCCCAATAAAGACCTTCCCCTTTGCCTAAGTCCAGATTTTTTTTTTTAATTTCTTAGCCTTGAGTTTCCTGAGCTTCAGTGGAGGCCCTGCTGTGCCAAAGAAACAAAATGTATTACCTGGATAACACACGGGTTTCGTAACTACTGAACTGCTCATCGAAAGTCTTTTTCGAAGCAAATCTAGATTCTCGAAAGGAATGCTAGCATTTTTCTTCCATAAGAATTTTAGCTGGCGAAAGTGACGCCTGGGCTAGATGCCTAAAACAGTTGCTATTTCGGGCTTCAAATGTGAATTATGATTTTTCGAAAGATCGAAATCAAACC